CGTATTTATTTGGATAAGGAATAATACTGTATTGTTTAAAACAGCTTCGTAAATTTCCCATTATTTTTAGTAATATGTAAAAAGATAAAAATGGTTACTGTGGGCTGTCCTTAGGAGATAGACATATACAATTGCATACTTTTTTGTAGACTTTTTCAAGATATACAATTCCGTAGCACATTATTTTGATTTATCTCATGGTTTAGTCAGCATTTGCCATGTAAGAGCACAAAAAATATTTTTTACGAGAAATCTTTAAAATTCTCGAATTTTCTCTATTATAATAATAATATGAATGTAGGTATATCTATTTGTATATCTCTTGAAAGTTGAAAAAGGTAAACAAGTAAAGTATTTGGATTTGGTCCACGAGATTGTCGACATGTGGGATGTTGATTCGGCAATCGTTGTACCGATAGTCATATCAGCCCATGGATTAATTGCTAAGAGCCTCGACCAACATCTTCAGAGGCTCGCGTTAGGCAATTGGATTAAAGACCTGATGCAGAAAGCAGTTCTTCTCGATACCGACGCCACGCTTTACACAACGCCATCTAGTTCTAAACTAAGCAGAGCTTGTACTATGGCTACTAGACAACTGATATAAATACATATATATATATATATGTCTTTGTAAATACATACATATTATACATGGAAACACCCAGACCAATTCAAACAATAAATGTTCATGCATACAAATGTTTGACTTGGCGGGAATTAAACCCACGACCTTTGGAATTGCAGTCAGTTACACAAACCACTACGCCATACGGTTGATAGTTCTACATAATTATGTACATATTAATTTTAAATTGATTTGACTATGTCCTTATGTAAAATTTCAACACAATTATTTTTATTTACGAAATAAATTAAATGAAATTTTAATCTCATGAGGGTGCGTGAGTAATGGATCTATTTTTAGAAGCACTAAGAGTGGCTCCCTCTAGTGTTGAGAGTACCTCTTAGAGTCCTCTATGATTATGTTCTAAACACGCTAGATGGCGCTAACACATCGAACCTAAAATTAAGTTAAAATCATTACCATTTTGTGGTTTGTTGTGTTGTGCTTGGGCGTACGCATAGTAGGTGACGAATGCGGTTTTTAGGTTAGAGTTTTTTTTTTACTTCACATATATGAGAATTTAGATAAATTTGTTCTTACTTTTTGTATGTGGGATTTCCAGTTTATGTGTGTGTCTATAGTTTGGTGTTATTGAAGGTAAAATCAAGATTTATTTTTGATATGGATGAAAAGTGATTATTTTTGTTTTCATCATCCTCATCAACAGCCTTTACTAGTCCACTGCTGGACATAAGCCTCTCCTTAGAAAGGAGGTTTTGGCCTACTGTACCACGCTGGCCAGAGGGGTTGGTACAGGGTTTGTTTCAAGTTTTCCTTCTCTCTGCAGTGCTGCTGTTCTGCGTAGTTTTATTTTTGTTTTATTTAAGTTTAATTCCGTGTTGAGGTTATTCATCCACTTGATAGTTGAAGAGAGAATGGTGTCTAATTTTTCGTGTATGTTGCTACTGTTTTGACATGAAGTGAGTAAGAGATGTGGTTGATAAGCCAGCAGGGTAAGTTCGTCAGGACCCTGTTTTCAAAGAAAAGGCGGCAGTTAGTCCAAGCTTTTTTGTTTTTTTTTTAGGTTTTTGATTATTCTTGTCATTATAGTTACTGAAAATTAGATGTAGGCATCATGTTGACACTTTGAGTAATTCGAGTAAGATCTTTTATTAATTGTTTAAACTAGCATGAGATCTAAGAATGAATTTGTTTTCTAAAATATTTATATTAAAGTCTCTTCCTAATATTACGATAGACTTTATCTATTTCTTATATATATATTGCGTCATCATTATCAATCATCAACAGCCTGTAACAGTTCACTGTTGGACACAGGCCTCTCCTTAGAAAGGAGGTTTTGGCCTACTATACCACGCTGGCCATACAGGTTGGTATAGGGTATGTTTCAAGTTTTCCTTCTCTTTGCAGTGATGTTGTCCTGCGTAGTTTGCATAACTTGCTTTAATTGACGAATAAATAAATCTTCTATTCCAATAGATAATTACAATTAGTATTTTCTCTTTAGGTAACTCTTTAACACATATTTGTATATAATTTTCAATTGACCTATTTCTATATACCTTATTACTTTAAAGTTTATATGATCTTGTAGTAAAGCGAAGACTCCGCAGCATCCTCGAGGGCGACGACACCCGCGACACTCATACCCCTCTTTCCCACTGGGCACTCTGGGCACGTGCCCAGGGTCCCTCAATAGATAGAGGCCCCCTAATTCCTACCTACCTACCTAATTCGATAATCGATACTTATGAAAATGAAATCCCTGGTACCACGACTTGGCTATCACTAGAAAAATTAGAAAACCTACATTTTAACGGATACATAGTTGCATCATCCCAGGTGTCGCCTGGGCCGTCTTTAGCCTATCGGAGGGCCTGGGCACATAGGGATAAAGGGGCCCCTACGACCTTGACTGATTACTATTCTGTTAGAATAGCCAAAAAAGGTATTTTAATAAGCCATTTTCGCTCGGTTTTTAAATAAATATGGTTTTCGGTAATAAATATCGATTATCGAATTAGGTATGTAGGAATTAGGGGGCCTCTATCTATCGAGGGGCCCTGGGCACTTGCCCAGAGTGCTCAGTGGGAAAGAGGGGCCTGACCGCATCCAACAAAGAGTGACTCGAATCTTCGTTAGCCCAAACATCTCCGATCGGCCCCTTGTCGTTACGTAGAGATGTGGCTTCACTCTGCATTCTCTATCGCATATATCATGGAGAGTGCTTTGAGGAATTGTTCGGACTAATACAGTGCAAAATTTTCACCCTCATCACCTGGATAGTTGCGCTTCACTACTGTGCGCTTTTCGAGACACCTTTTGCCCCGCACAACCAATCTGGTACGGGTTCTCGTCTGTGGTATTTCCGGAACGATACGACCTTCAAGAGAAGAGCGTACTCCTTCCTAGAAGGCCGGCAAGGCGTTTGTGACTCCTGAGTTGCAGACGTTCATGGAGGGCGATGGTCACTTTCCATCAGATGACCCGTCTGCTCGTCTGCCCCGTCTAACATAAAAAAAAACACAACAATATAATATGTCGACAATATAACTAGAAACAATACAGATTTCATTGCATGTCGTCATCATTCATTATACCTACCTACTCATTGTGGTGATTTTAGCATTCACAAGGTTTTATCCTCAAGAAATTGATTACACTGTAATAACACTTCTCTGTTACTACGAGTATATTTTTAAATTTAAATTAAAGTAAAACTTTTTTACATTGCCTCAATTTTTTTCGTCCTTCTATCGCATGTCGCCGGTTTCGGAGTAGCGGTAAAGTGAAAGGCGCATCGCAGAGCAACCAAGGCCAATATGGCGGCGTTCGCATCAGCTGACGGATCCTAAAAAAAGTTTCAATTGGATCGTGGTTTCATAAAAGCACACCACACTTTTTTTAAAACATATTCGTAGTCAACTCTTTTTCCATAAATTTTCCATAGAATCCGATATTCTTATAGAGAATGGTGGTCAAAGTTGGTAATATTTTGTCGTTATTTTGTAAACATGTAGCCTTTGACTTGACAAAAAAATTTAAAAATAAAATGTTAAAACATTTAGAGAAAAATGTTTTTTTGATAAAACAGATAAAAATAATAATATTTCGAATCCGATATTCTTATAGAAAATGGTGGTCAAAGTTGGTAATATTTTGTCGTTATTTTGTGAACATGTAGCCTTTGACTTGACAAAAAAATTTAAAAATAAAATGTTAAAAAATTTAGGCAAAAATGGGTTTTTTGATAAAACAGATAAAAATAATAATATTTCAAGATATGTGTAATAGTAATATAATACTTTCATGCTATGTGTCATTAGCTTTATTCCATTTTTTACTTTTACTCTTCTTTCTCTTTGCAGTGCTGTTGTCCTGCGTAGTTTGCTCCCTTAGTCGGCTCTTGCGACACCCACGGGATAAATAGGGATTAAATTTATAGAGGGTTTATCCACGCTCCGTGTTCCGGTACGTAGATACCGTGGAAGAGCCATGCTTCGGTTAAAATGGACCGGCTCGACCGGTGCGATACCACGGCCTCACAGAAAACCGGTCGTTAAGCAATTTCCCTGTTGCATATCACCGAGTGAGTGAGGTTTCCGGAGTCAAACCCACCTACACGCTCCCCCTCATGATAGTGTCGTTGGAAAAAATTCTACCCTAGCGGGGTACAAGCTGCGTTAGCGTTGGAGAATCCCCTTTGGACGTCCACGCTCAGAACACCATGCGTCTGGGCGTGAATGTCTGGCCTGCCCCGCGTATTCTGGGGGGGGGGGGGGAGGAGGCAACAGCACTCGATAGGATATCTGCCCGCGGCGGAAGCAGGGACATTAGGCCACGCCTCGCCACGCTTGACGTGAATTTCTGCAATATAAGGGGCCTTCACTCCAACCTCAACTCTGTCAACCACCACCTCGAGACAGTGAAGTCGGCCTTGTTCTTTTTAACCGAAACGCAGATATCATCTCCATCGGACACATGCCACCTCTCCTGCACTGGCTATCATCTGGAACGTTCCATTGTTGCTAGGGCTGGAGTGTGCGTGTACGTTAGAGGTGATATTAGTTCGCGCAGACTCAGACTTAAAGGACGGGACCGTTCCATCTTGTGGCTCCGTGTAGACAGCGACGACCATCCCCGCGTCTACGCATGCCTCTACAGGTCCCAGGTCCGGTGACACCGAAACTGACCGACTGATGGACCACGTCCAAATGGCTACAGATTCAGTACTGCGACAGATCCCATCCGCGGAGATCGTGATACGTGATCACAACGCCGAACGGCTTGGCTCACTGAAGAAACAGTGTTCAATCATCTGATATTCTTACTTAATTGTAACAGTAAATTTGGACTTCTCTTTCATTTTCAGGTAACCCTCAGAGCCCCCGTGAGTACACAGTCTGCTAGCATGGATAGAGCAGTCCTACGGCGGCCAGGTACCTCAGGCATCTCCGGTCATCTCTTTGAAACTAAATCCCTGGCCTTATATCTGTTCAGATTGCAACACGACCCAACAGTTCAATACTTTCGTTTAGCAACAAACATCAAAGGCTTTGGTGCCTTCGATGACATCTGTCTCGTCGTGAAAATAGAAGGACATGATCGACCCGTGGCGATATTCATTCAACTAAAACACAAAGAAGACGATAAGGCGGTTATAAAGTTTGACAACAAAGACAAATTAAAATATGTTACCAGTTACATAAAAATTACAGAAAGAATCGCGTCGCCACAGCCACAGGAGGATTTTCTCGATCTGAATCTCAATGAAACAGACTGTTTCTTCATTTTGTACAGTAATGCTAAATTTAATATCACAAATACAGAATCTAAATTCGAAAATCATTTTGCCCCAGTATTAAACAGTTTGCTGGCGACAAGCGATGCAGTTGGTTGTCGAGTGCAAGAATCGGACCAAGTTGTAGAAGATTTCGGAGATTGTTTTCTGAAAAATGACCTAGTGCTGTTGTCAAAACACTTTGTTGAATTTTTGATTGATAAAGGTAACAATAAATCGATGGACATTATGATCGATAAGTATGTACAGCAGTATCACGTCATCTTGAGGGAAAGCGTTGTTGATGTCAGCGACATTCAAAGAGTAAAAGATACCAAGTGGCGAATTATGACATTTAAACGAGAATTTTTCACAACTAGCGACAAAAATGTATTAATTTTTAAGGATCAGTTACTTAAAGAGCTGCTTCAGAATCACCGTGAAAGACTGTCTCTGGATTCTAAAAAATCAAGGCCATCATTAGATGAAACTATATCACATTTCTTAAACGCCCCGTCAGCTGCGACTCTAACGCCTCTTATCATAACGCATATTGATTGTAATGAAGTTGGTAAACTAGAATTTCTCATTAAAAGGCCTTCTCACGATGTCAAGCTGTTACAGCAAACTAATATGTCCCGAAAGGAAATAGACGAAGCAATATCTGCAGCTGAAACGAGTGCGATGGAATACTTATTGTCGTTGAAGCTAAAAGTGCCTGTTACATTCGGTAATGTAGATTTATCAATTCGAGGTAGTGATAAGAAAGTAAACAGTAGGTTGGAGTATTTGACGACGGCAATCAGTGATTTATGCAAAATATATGAAGTACAGGACCAATATAAAATTGTCAAAATTGACGATCATTTGGACGATGGGCTTCTAAAACGTATCGGAGGTTTGGCTGGCGCTGTTGGTAATATGTTAATTTATGATGAGATAACAAATATGATGATGTTTTCCAATAACTTTACGTGCGAACAAATTATCGCAACTCAGTTAGTTCTCAATCTTAAGAATCTAATCGGTGACATATCTCAATATAGATTCGTTGTAAAAACTAAGAGGTTGCCAAAACTTCACTTCGATTGCACCGACACAGCAAGAGAGTTTTTAAGTAAACTAATCATCTACGAAACACAAAGCAATCATTGGAAAGTTGAGGAAATTTTAAAACAAAAAATTCAGGAACGTCTCATAACTGATTCTCGGGATTCAGTAATAAACAGTGGTAATACAGATGTGTCAGTGTTCCTGCATTACCACGAGGAAATACTCAAGTGGTGGACATCGCCGACAACGTATCTGAACGAAAAGACGAACTTGTACGAACAAGCAATATTAAATATGAAAGTAGAACCACAGATCAGTGCATTACAGACTAATTTTCATATAAGTAGGGCAAAATACTTTAAAATCGGTTTTACTAAAAATGCCATGAAATGGATGGAACTACCCTTTAAACTGTACATAACTACAGACACAGTTGTACTAACGTCTGTGAAAGTAGTTCAGTCTTTAAAACGCTATTTATCGATCAAAAAGTTAGCAATTTTGGATGTTGAAAATGTTCTGAATTTGTCCATTTCAGACTTTAACTCATTAAATGAGGAGATAAAAAATACTGAGAAAGTGCTAATTATTATGTGGCATAAAACCCAGAATTATGATGAATCAGATAACAATAGATTGTCTACACTTGCACTAGCAACTGAAGATAAACAATCAGTTGTTATAACAAACAGCGAGTTAAGGGAAACAATAAACAAACTTTTTAAGGCACAAGATGCGTTTTACCATGAAACGGAAACTCTGTCGAATATAGAATCACAAAAAGAGATACTGAAACATGCAAAAGCATTATTTCAAGGCCAAGAAGTTACTTTAGATAAAATATTAGACAAGAAGTCAGTATCATTTGTTAAAGGTGTCATACTTGATAGAGTAATACGTAATAAAACTATAAATATTGGTGAGCCACTCGGTAATGTACAGTATGAAGAGGTCAAGGATTTCTTTGTCCCCAGGAGTGTAAGCCGCCGTGGTAAAACTGATGCCTACGATGTCTTCCATGTTAATGATGACGACATTGCCATTTCCGACTTTAACAGCAACGTTCCTGATGAAAGAAAATATTTCGATGATTACGATTCTGTTATTTTAAACGAAACTTATAAAGCTGTAATTAGAGTCGAAACGTTTCTCGATATACCAAGAGATGTGGTGCTTCTAATAGCCCCACCAGGTATGGGCAAATCGACACTACTCACCCACCTAACACTTAACACCAAGAAGTATCATCATAGACTTTGGATAGTTCGAATGGACTTTGGAGATTACTCGAAACAGTTTAAGGTATGGTATGATAAACACGTGGTTATCGATGCTTTAGAAGCTTTGAATTTGTTGTGTCAAATTATAACAAGAAATCTTACGGTAGCGCTTAATATAGAATTAACAGATGGTAAAGCACATTTAGTGAACGAGGAATTGGCTGATTTTGAATTAATCATGTTCTTGCACTTTTATAATAAAAGGAAAGTGATATTCCTATTCGACGGTTTTGATGAAATCTGTCCTGACTACAAGGATAAGGTTATAAGTTTTCTTTCTGTCGTCAAAAATGATCTTCGAAAACACAAAATGTGGGTAGCCAGTAGACCGTACAGTGACATCCGCCCAGATCTAGAATCAGTTTTAGGTAAATATTTTAAAATAAACCATTTAACGTTTACCGAACAAGAGAGTTATTTAAGACAATTCTGGAACAAAAAGTTATCATCAAAGAAATCAAGTGAGGAACAACTCAAAAATTTACGAATATTCTTAGACAACACAAGAGAGTCAATATCTGAGGCGACAGATTCGGTTCGTGTGATCTATAGTGTTTTTGTTGATACTGTTAGATTATTATTTTTTCAAACACCGTCCGATCCTGAGATAGACGCCATATTGAATACTGCTCGGACGATAAATCCAAGTCAACAAGTCTTTCGATTATCAGGAATTCCGTTGCTTTTATATTTCCTGGCTGATTATTTTGTAAATATAGTATTTCGTGCCTCAAATCGCAATAAAGCTATATTAGAATTTAACCACCATAATATTTATGAAATGTTTATAAAAAATAAACTTGAAACAGTTATTTTCCAAAATAAACTGAACATGGATTTGTCAGATCAATATACAAAGCAAATTTTAAAAACAGAACTCTCTGAAATGATAAGTATTCACAAAAAACTGGCTATATATCCTTTCTACCAAGATCGCATTCCTGGTAAGGGTTTTGTAGAACTCGAAGATATGAAGCCATTTAACGAACAAGAGTGGCATACTGCGCGGCAAAATATTAGAACAGGTACAGAGAAAAGAGGATTGATTTCACACGTAAATGAGAACAATATGCCCGTGTTCATACATAAATCCTTTGCAGATTATTTCATTGCTGAGTACGTTTGTGATATAATAAAAAGCTCCAGGTTTAAGTTATATCAAAAAGTTCTTTGGTATTGTGCCACGACTAAAGTTGGTGACACGGCTATCCAAGTTTGGATCGAGAGGAAAAAGAAATCAGACCCAACACTTGGAAACGCATTTCTAGAAATGGAGAAAACTTCACCAATATATACAACTAAATACAGTTTATATTTGAACAGGGAAAACATAACGCCGCGTCAGTACATCAGAATATTAGCTTCGTCAGTTAAAGACTATGAAGATGGGTGTTTTAGTGAATTTGGGGCAAAGTTTAAAATGAATTACTTTAATAAGATTATTAACAAAACCGTTAGGCGGGGACTAACTGAATATTTTACAAATTGTCTTATCTGTAAAATGCAGCCTCAGCTTAAACAACATTTTGAAGGAACACCTTTGTTTGCGTTTCAAAGTCCCGACGAAAATCTTGTCAGATATTTTGATTCAGACAAAATATTCCATGGAATCGACGACATCCTCCTTGGCCTAAAAGTAAAAGTTCATAAGCGAATTGTGCCCCTCTTCATGTTTCTTACTCATCAAGACCATTGTGCTACCTCCCAATTATCAAATACTAAGAGTATGGGTGAGAACTACCAGAAGTTTCCTACAGATGACACTGTTCAAACAGATTTTATAAAGATACTATTGAACCCTGGTTACCCTCGAACCCTACATGTTACAAGTGACCCCAGTTTTTCAAGTGATATATTAAATTTCTTGAGTACTACAAGCACAATCGGTAATCGTTTGGATTACACCGAGAAAAACGTAGAAGAACTCGCAGAAAACACTATGATAAAAGAGCTAAGATGGTTAGCTAGAGTTATTGAAACCTCTTTAAAGCCAGAGATATGTATAACAAGACGCAAATTCAAAAGCTATCATGTTTTTCTAAGTCAACATGTTTTCGATGTCGGCGATATCCAAACAGACAAAAGTCGTTATTTATGCAAATGGCGGACTGTTACATTTCGAAAGAAGTTCTTTGACATAGAAGACAAATATATTAGCTTTTTGAGAAATTGTTTGTTCGAACGATTGCTCAGTAAAAGAATGCCTATATTTTCGAAAATTAAATACTTACCAGATCTACTGATACCCTTTTTCCTTTCTGAACCGTCTGTTGCTACATTAACCCTTTTGCTTGGAACTGGTGTTGTCGGCTGTAAAGATAATAAGTTAGAATTCCTAATGGTGCGACCTGCCAGTGATGTACGAGTAGAACAGTTGCGAAATATTAACATGCCAGAATCCACGATCAACGAAGCGAAGTTTGCAGTCAGGACAGCCACTGAGATATACTTGCGCTCTCTACATCCGAAAGCTACTATTGATTTTGGTAATATTGATTTACCATCTCCTCGAGACATTGAGATGACTAGTGAAACCTTGAAAGACGCTATTGTAAAATTGTGTGAACAAAACACACGACGTAAAGTGGTCACGATCGATGATTCTCTCGACGAGTCATTGCTGTGGGGCTTGGCCAGTTGCGTTGGTAACATTCTTATTTACGATGAGGAAACAGAGATGCTCAAGGTGCAACATTTAGAGCAACTCACTTCAGCTCAGAAGTACGCTAAATCTTTATATCTTCAACTATCTCGTGAAATCGACAATCTGCATGTATATAGGTTTCATGTAATAACTGAAAAATTACCCAGATGTCACCTCGATTTCAAGAATTCAGCCAGAGACTTTTTAAGGAGGCTGATAATTTTTGCCAAAGACAGTATCGATTACAAGATTGAGGCAGTCAGTTCAGAAAACTTGAATATTGGCCGCCGTCATATAAAATTTCATGATGAATTTGTAACACTGAACTTGGCGCGTCTGCATCTCCACTGTGAAGTACTAAAATGGTGGAAGACGCCAAACACAGGCGAATACGACACTAAACCGACCGATTTGTATCAACTAGCAACGGAAAATGTGAATTTAGAACCGATAATAAGTGAAATGCATGCTTCATTTTATTTTAAGAACTTGAAGTATTTTAAATATATTTTAAGTGAAAATTTTACAAACTACATACCAGTTGACTCTAAAACGGTGGTAATCACAGAAACAGTTATGTTAACAACTATAAAAGTATTAAGAAGTTTAAAGAGCCGTGGCTTCTACAACGAGTACACAGTTCTTGACTTGGAGCACATGCAGAGCACGTTGCCGAATGCGGAAGACGCACGAATATTGCGCGCAGAGTTAAGGAACACTAAAAAAACTCTGATTATGATATGGACAGAGAAGAACGAAGATGTGATATTTCGTAAGCTTACACGACTGTTAAAACACAAACGTATGGTAATTATAACAAACAACGACTTCATAGAAACGGTGGAATCACATCGTGAGTTATTGGATTTTGTGTTTTATAACGAAGTAGAAAGTTTGACCTCAATACAGTCACACAAGGAAATAATGAGAGATACAAAAGTAATATTTCAAGGCCAAAATGTCACTTTAGATGAAATTATGGACGATGAGTCTGTTACATATGTTAAAGGCGATGTGTTGGATAAGGTGATAAATAATTACACCCTGCACATCGGCAAACCCCTCGGCGATCCACATTACAATGAACTTAAAGACTCATTGATCGACAGCAGAGTAGAAACAGTTCGGAGAGCAGATGATGAGTTCCAAATGTCTAGTGAAGATAAGGTAAACAGAAGATTTCACAATATAGTGGAAGATGTGGTGTTTCTAACAGACCCGACGGGACTGGACAAGTCGGCACTGTTCACTCACCTAGCTCTTAACACAAAACACCACGATGGGAAACTTTGGATAGTCAGAGTGAACTTACCAGATCATGTGGAACAATTTGGCAGATGGCAGGATGAAGATACAACCGTCGATGATTTGGAATCATTGAAGTTTCTGTGCCAAGTTACATTGAATTATAAATTGATGTCGTTTAATTTAGCACTCATAAATCAAGAAGCTCGAGTAGTGCGTTGTGTGGGTGACGCCGTAGCTGCTTTTGAACTAAACTTATTCGTACGTTTCTATAATGAGAGAAGAGTAATATTTGTATTTGACGCTGTTGACGAAGTCGGTCCTAAATGCAAAGACAAGGTTGTTACGTTCCTGTCAGTTGTTAGCACCCGTCTTCGGAAAAGCAAAATGTGGGTAACCAGTAGATCGCACAGCGATATTCTGCCAGAGCTGGAAAGAGTCTTAGGGGAAAGCTTTACAATAGTGAGTTGTAGCGACTAAGGGCCATAGCTAAAACTAAAAAAACACATTTTTGTAAAGAGTACTAAATATTTTTCTATAAGTTCACAAAGATTTTATTTATTTAAAACATTTACAGTGTCTTTACAGCATCCTCCTGTAAGTAAAAACAGTAAGTAACAATTATTTTATAAAGAAAAATCATTTGCTGTAATGCACCTTTGGGTAACTTCTTTGAAGTTCGGCAGGCTACAGTTGTTTTATATCTCATCATCATGGGGTGCCATCCTCAAAATGAAGTTTGGAGGTCAGCAGACAGTACACCTCTCGATCATGAGCGGCCTCCTTTAGTTGGCGATATCGCAGTCCGGTCCAGGCCACGATGGCATCTATCCACTTCCTTCGTGGTCGACCTGGTGTCCTCCTGCCTGGTATTTTTCCTTCTAACAGAAGCCTCAGGAATTCATGTTGCGGGCCCCTTTGTATGTGTCCAAAGAAGGCCACCTTCCTTTTCGCTATAACAGCCATCAGTTCTCTCCTGCACTTGGCTCGCTCCAGCACCTCTACGTTGGATGTAAAACTAGTCCACGGGATTTTAAACATCTTCCGCAATAACCACATCTCGAAGGCTTGCAGTCGGTTACATATGTCTTTCCTTAAGACCCAAGTCTCACACCCATACAACAGTGTGGACCAAACGTAGCATTTCATGACGCGGTGCCTCAAAGGAAATGGGGTTTTTGGGTCGCATAAAACCTTAGACATTTTGAAGAAAGCAGTCTTAGCTTGTCCTATTCGACATTTCACCTCTTCCAAATGGTCTAAGTCATTCGTAAAGTATCGGCCAAGATATTTAAGCCCACCAACGCCTGCCACATCTACCCCCCGAAGCTTTATATTTGGAGTGGGCATCATTGTCTTCGCGATAACCATGGTCTTCGTTTTATCAACATTAATTGTTTTATATCTACATGTATTGAAATAATATTAATAAGCCTTATTGCGCGTGATATAGGGCATATCTAAGGAGATTTGTTCGCGTTACGGGAACGATGAGCAAAGTGGGCTGGCGGCGCGCACCCACGCACCCGACACGCACGCTGCACAGCCGCAAACTCATTAGTATAACTAGGGACTAATCCCACCCACACGCCCACCACTGTAACTCCTGTACACCAGGATCCACAGCAGTGACCCACGAACACACCGAGTTATGACACTCGGGAAGTCCCAGGAAGAAATTAAACTGTCTTGGAACCCGCAATGAAATTAATCAGAAGAAAATTGGAGGAAAGTCGTTAGTATGTGGCGTTGGCGCAGCTGACCGCGCAGTACGCGCCACACGTATGTCACCAGCGCCACGTCGCGTCTCACGCTCAGGCGCACGTACCGGACCATGCCGAGGAGGAATAAGCTAGGGTACATTAGCGGGTATAGTGGGGACACCCCGTATTCTTTGTAATACAGAAATCGAGTGAATTTATTTTGTTTTTTTTTCTACCATAAGGCTATATTTAGCCTCGTGAGGATTCCAAATTATAGCAGTCGTTTCTAGTTGGCTACGAACGAGAGCATTGTACAATATCTTCACCACTGAAGTGTTATTAAAATCTTTACAGTTTCTCAGAATCTATACAAATATTATAAAGCTGAAGAGTTTGTTTGTTTGTTTGGTTGAACGCGCTAATCTCAGAAACTACTGGTCCGATTTGAAAATTTCTTTCAGTGTTAGATAGCCCATTTACCGAGGAAGGCTATATATCATCACGCTAAGACCAATAGGAGCGGAGCACCAATGAAGAATGTTTCAAAAACGGAGAAAATTTATTACTATTGAGAGACGCAGACGAAGTTGCGCGGGTCAGCTAGTCTAATCCTAAATTTCTAAATGATTTACTACATGTAATTACGATATGATTACGAAACGTCAACTCAGGTACCATTTCGACTCCTAAATCTCATCATCACATCAACAGCCTTTACTAGTCCTCTGCTGGACATAGGCCTCTCCTTAGAAAGTAGGTTTTGGCCTACTACACCACGCTGGCCAGACGGGTTGGTATACGGTTTGTGTCAAGTTTTCCTTCTCTCTGCAGTGCTGTTGTCCTGCGTAGTTTGCTCCCTTAATCGGCTTAGACACCCACGGGATGAATGGGGGTGGTGACGCTCTGTATTCTTAATCCATCACCACACAGACTGCAATATTGGTTACTCTTCCCTATATAGGAATGTGAAATAAAATAATATCAAAAGTGTCTTATTATTTTAATAGTATATGTATATGATACTCATTAATATTTACAAATATTAGTTTTAATTATGACAACATATTATATAAAATTAGATTATTTGAAAAAAATAAATTGAAGTCGTTCAAAAACAAAACAGTCTGTCAAATAAGTTTATTACGTATTTAGGCAATGGATTTCCTTACCTTGAGAATTCACGTGAGTTTCCTTACTTAGTAGTATAAACAAAAAACAACATTATGTAGTAGTGGGGGAGGGGGGAGGGGGTTACAAAAATTCGCTATCGCTAAGCACGGTAATCTTCAATCTGTGCTTAGGCCATGTGAAGGTGGTAGGCAGGGTTGGTGGGTCTTTTTGTTCGGTTTCTTCTTCACTGTCCGGCTCGGAGTCTGTGTCGGCGAGACGCGCTAGAGACGCCACTTGTGCTGACATGTCAGCAGCTAATTCTTTTGGTATTATCACCTGTTAGACACAATAGGTAGTTAAAGAGAAGTTGAAAGAGATATGATAGGTAGATCTCCGACGGGCCTGTTAGTGACCCTGACTGCTAAACCAGAGGTCGTGGGTTCGATTCCCACCCAGGACAAATATTGTGTGATGAGCACGGTCATTTGTTCTGTGTCTGGGTGTAATTTATCTATAATATGTATGTATTTAGAAATATATAAGTATGTTTATCAGCGGTCTGGTTACCATAGTACAGGCTCTGCCTAGTTTGGGATCAGACAGCCGTGTGTGAATGTGTGGGATATATTATATATATTATTCTAGAAGCTTATTAAATCCTGTTAAGCAAAAAAGATCAAAACAAAATTCTAATATCCAAATAACGAGCTGTTCTAATTTTTTTACATGCAACGGTTAACATACTACAGCGCCATCTATAGAAAAGACTACGAACTACGGAAGAACTATAAATCATACATCGCACAATGAAAATTCTCGCGCCGATTAGTATTTTTATATACGAGTTCGTTAAGTTGGGCTAAGGGCCAGGCATGACCATCTCCTTTTTACTTTATATAGACAACTCTTAAGTATCGTGACGTCACATTTCAATACCCAATATATCTAAAAAGTATTATAATGCGAATTTGGAATTTTTTATTAACAGTGGTATAAATCATCGTTTTTAGTTTTGTTATTTTTTTAATGTTTTATTTAATGTTGATTTTTGTAAATATTTAATTTTTATTATTTTTTTATTTTATAAAAGGGACAACTCCCGCATTAGTTAAATAACCTGTGTCGCGGACGACTTTACAAACATACATGAAACGGACACAAAGAACACCCAGACTCAGAACAACAATTTGTGGATCACACAAAGTGTCGTCCGCTGTGGGGATAAAACCCACAACACTCGGCGTAGTAGTAAGCTGCGTGGCGACCGCTTAAACCACTACGCCATCCGTGCAGTCAACCTATGGTCAGAGGATCCTCCCTCTGTGTTGGAGAGATATAACACACATTCCTTCACATATTTAATACTATTAGTAGTTACTACTTTGTATGGGTTATGGTTACCGTACAGGGCAAATAAAAGATAGAGTTAAGCCAACCTGGTATATATTAACTTAACTAAATCTACAATGGTATGGTTAGATGGTGTGAGTACAACCGAACGGAATGGTGACCAAAAATGCACTGTTTTAATGTTATAATAAAATAACGTTAATCGAGTTAAATCGCTGACCGCGCGGAACGTGATATAGCGCGGTTTGTGTCGATCTGTGGATCGTACATACTTAGTTTATCTCGTTGCCGCTAGATGACGTTAAACTATATTTTTTTAACTGTATGTTGAAGACATTACAACATTACTTCTAGGTATTCTCCCACTTCACTAAGAACAGAAGTTAAGAGAGATCCCAAACAAGACAAAACCTGTACTATGGTAACTAGACTGCTGATAAACATACTTATATATTTCTGTCCGTGTGGTGACGGATGAATAATACGGAGTGTCACCACCCCTATTCATCCCGTGGATGTCGTAAGAGCCGATTAAGAGAGCAAACTACGCAGAACAGCACTGCATAGAGAAGGAAAACTTGACACAAACCCTATACCAACCCGTCTGGCCAGCGTGGTATAGTAGGCCAAAACCTCCTTTATAAGGAGAGGCCTATGTCCAGCAGTGGACTGTTAAAGGCTGTCGATGATATATTTCTAAATTTATTAAAAATACCCAGACACAGAATAAAAGATCGTATTCATCACACAATCGTTTGTTTTGATGGGAATCGAACCCACGACCTCTGGTTTAGCAGTCAGGGTCATTAACCACTAGACCAACAGACCCGTCGATATGTCGAGGATAGGTACCTGTAGCCAGCTGCCCTGCGCCGCGTAGGGTCTGGAGGGAGTGGCGGCAGCGCCCCCCACGGCGGGCGGCAGCAGCGTCACGGCGCGACCGCACTCGCGCCACGTGAAGTGGCTGCCGTGGGACACGCGACCGCTAGAACAGATCACAACGGAATATAATATAATATATAATAATATATTGTACCACATTCACACAACGCCATCTAGTCCCAAACTAAGCAGAGCTTGTACTATGGCTACTAGACAACTGATATAAATACATATATACTTTTTTTTTTGTAAATACATACATATTATACATAGAAACACCCAGACCAAATCAAACATTAAATGTTCATGCACACAAATGTTTGACCTGAGCGGGAATCGGACCAGCGACCTTTGGAATAGCAGCCCGTTACACAAACCACTACACCATCCAGTCGTCGTCATAATAATCATTTTATATGCCTGTTAAAGATTTTAATTCATAAGTAACCTGTGAGTATCTATTTCAAATTAGGGACCATAAATTACGTCGCACCTAAAGGAGGGGGTCAACGAAGTGTTACATTGTGTGACAAGGGGTCTTAAGTATCGTGACGTCACATTTCAATACCCAATATATCTAAAAAGTATTATAATGAATGTGATAGAATATTATTATTATTAGAATTATTTAAAAAAAAAAATTAGAATTAATTATTAACAGTGGTATTAATCATAGTTTTTGTTTTGTTATTTTTTTTTAAATGTTTTATTTAATGTTGAAATTATTAACTAAATGGTTTCAATGGCATAAAACATATTTTGGACTGCATCACCAAGAAAATGTGACCAGCTGTGAAAAAGAGGTGGGGGTAAAAAAACTATGAAATTCGTGTGACGTAATCAGTCTATGTAATTTTGAGAATATTTAAAAAATCCAAACAAGAACAAATACGATTCGAGTACCAACAAATGGGCTACACCACAAATGGGCTGACTCGAAAACTGTCACCCCCTTTTTTTTCTGCGCGGAAATCCCCTCGGATACCACTTACCGGTGGCAATGTCGGACTCGAACCGACTAAAACGGCACGCTGTCTCAGGTACCAGCAGTCGGGGAACCGACGTACCTCGGGCCATCTACGGCGGGTAGACGACCCCCCCCCTGAGACCTGTCACCCCCCTGACTGGTGGTGTTGGTTGGTTGATCATCACAATCAATAGAACCCATGATCTCTGGCCCAACAGTCAGCTAACCTCCAATCCGATATCACAGTACTTACTCAATGGCGAGAGGTAACAGGCTGGCTCCTTCCGCATTCAGCACTATGTGCACTCCATCCAAGTATTCCACCATCGGCTCACCTCGCCATGAACCCTGAAATTACAACAGTTTTATACTTGACGGGCCTGTTGGTCTAGTGGTTAGTGGCCCTGACTGCTAAGCCGGAGGTCGTGGGTTCGATTCCCACCCAGGACAAACATTGTGTGATGAGCACGATCATTTGTTCTGTGTCTGGGAGTAATTTATCTATAATATGTATGTATTTAAAAATATATAAGTATGTTTATCAGCGGTCTGGTTACCATAGCACAGGGTCTGCCTAGTTTGGGATCAGACGGCCGTGTGTGAGATGTGTGAGGTATATTATATATATATTATATACTACTATATAATAAAAGTGAAAGACCGGCCATAAAAGAAAAAGGAAAAACTATTTCGCAATGAAATTAAGAAGTTTGTGAAAGAGGATGTTGAGTGATCAAGGAGCATAGAAAGAAAGAAAGAAAGAAAAATCGTTTATTTTGGCAATAATAAAACATTTTGAACAATTGCAACTTGGATTACAACGATGCCAAAAACGGACCCAATTCAGCCTTATGTCAGATGGAAGCCTGACGCTGGTTTTCAATTGGGCCCAAAATGATGCTATGTGTAAACCCTGTTGCAGATCACAGACATGTAGTACACATTGTATATATACATCACAACATTAATAACATATAACAATAATAATAATATTGTACCACATTCACACAACGCCATCTAGTCCCAAACTAAGCAGAGCTTGTACTATGGCTACTAGACAACTGATATAAATACATATATACTTTTTTTTTTGTAAATACATACTTATTATACATAGAAACACCCAGACCAAATCAAACATTAAATGTTCATGCACACAAATGTTTGACTTGAGCGGGAATCGAACCCGCGACCTTTGGAATAGCAGTCCGTTACACAAACCACTACGCCATGCGGTCGTCGTATACATATATACAATAATATATAACATATAACAAGACAAATTACAGATATGCAGATCACAATAAAATACACTACGATATACACAATATCCAACAAAGTTAATCTATAAATATCTAAAGTCCCTAAAGCGTGTAATAAAAGAAGAAAATGAACACTCCCAAATATACTTCATCAACAGCCTTTAACAGTCCACTGCTGGACATAGAGCGTGCACCTCTTCACCGATTATTGACAATGTACAACTCACATGTCACGAGCTTGGATATTTTCGCTCTCATTCACTCTAAATTTAAAAAAAATTGCCACTGAAATTCTTGCTGAATTATGATAACATTTTCAGTTTTATATCTATACAAATAAATAAAATTGGAGTGTCTGTTTGTAATATTAAAATAACCGCTTTTTACTAAATGCATGTGTATGTTTACACGGTACATATGCCAAAATAACATTTTTTACAATTTTCGTCTGTCTGTCTGTTTGTTCCGGGTAATCTCTGGAACGGCTGGACCGATTTCGACGGGACTTTCACTGGCAGATAGCTGGTGGTATAAGGAATAACTTAGGCTACTTTTTTTAGACTAGCTTCGCCCAGCGGCGTTGCCCGCGGTTATAACAACAAACGCGGGTAACACCGCGGGTCTCAGCTAGTACACCCGCTACATATAATTCAGGGATTGTGTATAGTGCGCGTCCGTTACCTGTTCTACTTCATCTATAAACTCGTGGACAATAGTGTGGGTTATGCTAAATCAATTGTAAAGACCTAATAAATAAAATAAAATAAAATAGGCCTCTCCTTAGAAAGGAAGTTTTGGCCTACTATACCACGCTGGCCAGACGGGTTGGTATCGGGTTTGTTTCAAGTTTTCCTTCTCTTTGCAGTGTTGTTGTCCTGCGACGTTTACTCCCTTAGTCGGCTCTTACGACACCCACGGGATGAATAAGGGTGGTGACACTCCGTATTCTTAATCCGTCACCACACGGACAAATATATATATTTATTAATAATAATTACTGTATGTAGAGTGGTTTCCATGGTGTCCATTTTGTTAGTAACAATATTCTTAAAGACTAGTATAATATATAATATAACATTGTACCACATTCACACAACGCCATCTAGTCCCAAACTAAGCAGAGCTTGTACTATGGGTACTAGACAACTGATATAAATACATATATACTTTTTTTTGTAAATACATACATATTATACATAGAAACACCCAGACCAAATCAAACATCAAATGTTCATGCACACAAATGTTTGACTTGAGCGGGAATCGAACCCGCGACCTTTGGGATAGCAGTCCGTTACACAAACCACTACGCCATCCGGTCGTCGACTACTACTGGTGTTAGTACAGTACATATATTTAAGAAAACGGTATTAAGATGTCTGTGTGTTTGCAGTCCTGTTTAATAGGCTTATTCACTTCTGTACCTATTTAGTACCACTTGACAAGTTTGTGTAAATATAGAATAGTTTCAGCATAACACAAGTCAAGAACAGCAAATATATTTTTTTTTTTAAAAAGACAACGCCCGCATTAGGAATATATATTCCTATGTCGCGGGGGACTTTACAAACATACATGAAACGGACACAAAGAACACCCAGACTCAGAACAACAATTTGTAGATCACTCTGTTGTCCCATGTGGGGTTTGAACCCACAACACTCGGCGTAGTAGGAAGCGGCGTGGCGACCACTTAAACCACTACGCCATCCGTGCAGTCAATTAAAATAAAATATCAGGTTACCTGCATTACTTCAGGTATCTGTGGCAGGGCTCGCTCCATACTTGACATCTCAAAGCTGTCCGTTGACATATGACCTGAAAAAGTGCGATATCTGATTTATAGTCTTTCGTGTTCTCCCGCCATTTTTTTTTGTTGGTTTTTAGACATTTATAAAATTTTGACTACACATTTTAATATGAATAGATGCTGTTGCCGAAAGATAAAAAAAGTAAATTTTAACGTGAGTAAAACCACAGGCAATAAGCTGGTGTAATAAGTTTTCTTATATTTTTGTGAATATATGAAATAATAGCGATCCGCCCCGATTTCGCACGGGTACAATGTAGATACCTGTAGTATCTACATTGTACCCGTGCGAAATCGAAATCTAACTCTCTAATAAAGTTCATTAAAGTAATATTCAACTAACTTTTGTTTATACGGCCTTAACATGGTCCTTCGTTCGAAGGACCATGTTAAGGCCGGCCAAGGCAAGAGATAGAAATATCAGTACCTTCAGGCCCACTCCTGTCAGCTGTCATTGTGTTCAGCCCACGTTGTAAGGTTTCCTTAATCTGCTGTTCTACGCTGGGAGGAAGATTTGAGGGGGAGGCTGGCTGCTCGTCTGGAGGCTATAGTAAAAGGAGGAATTATTCGTTGGTATATTAAAAACACACTCTGGATGTAATGACAAGAATTGAGAAGGGGATGCTGCTTTTGGGTATGTTGAATAGATGAGCGAACGGTGAATTACTGAGAGGGGTAATTACTCTCTCTAGTTTGGGATCAGACGGCCGTGTGTGAGATGTGTCTAGTTATTATTATTATTAAAAAAAAAGACTTTTTGAATCCGTATCACCTTGGTCGTGTCAGGTCACATACCTGGAAGAAGAACTAGACGCTGCGGGGAGTATAATCCTCTAACATATAATGTAATTTACTGTTTTTAAAGTTAATCAGTAGGTGTTATGGTGTTACCTCCCCCCAGGGCTGCCAGCGCAGGCGGGCGGAGACTCCGGCGAGCTGTGCGGGGGGCGCGGGGGGCGGGGGGCGGCGCAGGCGCACGGCGCGCGCCGACGTGCGGCGGTTCACGCGCGACACAAGCCACGACCCGCCACAACTGGAATTTAAACACAGGTTTCTAAACATCGCAGAGCCATGCTTCGACAAGTTGTACCTGTTTCTTTTTAAAGTGTGGAAACCCCTTTTGCCAATGGGTTTAGTAAATTAGTTGCAGGAGAGATTATATGATTTATCACAGGCGATTGTAAACCACCTTTCTAAGGAGAGGCTTATGTCCAGCAGTGGACTATTAAAGGCTGTTGATGATTGTGATTTCATTTCATCCCTAATTCCAAGTGTCTTTGGGTGTCGGTAGTATCTTACCACCGTGTATCCTGTATGTTCGTTGGCTCAAGCAAGGTAAACCTAATAGGCTAGTGTCCACTAATAACAAATTCCTTGGTTTATAGTTTCAAATTATAAATGAGGATACATTAGATACGAAAAAACCAGTCTATTTCTCATAAAACTTAAAGATTTTTTTTTTTAAATAAATTCGTACAAAATAGACATTAAGTCACGTGACAGAGAACACCAATTAGAAAATGTTACGTTACGCCACGCAAAACATCGTTGTTGTTGACGTTTTCACCCAACTGAGCGGGTTACTCCTCATTGTTTTTCGTTTTTAGCATATTTTCTCACCGTAATACAGTTTCAGTTGACACTACACAGATGTAAGCAGTTTTATTTCGCAGACTGTGACGTCATTCAAGACGCCATGACACTATTCAGCGTTTTCAAAGGAAATTTAAATTGTTTTTTTTAAATACAAAATACGTAATGTAAATATTGCTTTTTCTTTAAAATATAGGTTTTTTTCGATAAAATAGATATTGGAGTATATAATTAACCAGGTTTCCAAATTGAGTCAACTAGCCTTTTCTCGGTAGTACAAAAAGTAAACTCACTTAGTATCCTCGCTGATGAGCTTCAACACTTCGAATCCTGACCCTCTCTGAGCTGCCTTCAACTCTCTACCGGTGCATCCCACCATCTACAGCAACAGATGTATGTATATTACCTTCGAATACCATAAGGTGATATTACTAAGAATATGACGGGTTTGTTCGTTTAGGGATTAGCGACTGCTGAACCAAATGCTGTGGGTTCAATACCCACAAACAAAAACAATGTTGTGTGCAGACCACGATTATTTGTTGTGTCTGGATTTAATATATCTATAAATGGGTTATGCAGTGTGCTTCAGTTATCGCAGTAGCCTATGTCCTTCCTCAAGAATCTAACTATCTCGATGGCAATTTTCATCAAAATCGGTTCAGCGCTTATTGATGTCCGTGTAGTGACGGATTAAGAATACGGAATGTCACTACCCCAATTCATCCCGTGGGTGTCGTAAGAGCCGACTAAGGGCGCAAAACAACGCAGGACACCAGCACTGCAAAAAGAAGGAAAACTTGACACAAACCCTATACCAACCCGTCTGGCCAGCATGGTATAGTAGGCCAAAACCTCCTTTCTAAGGAGAGGCCTATGTCCAGCAGTGGACTATTAAAGGCTGTTGATGTGATGTGATGTGCTTATTGATTCTCCATACAATATACCATCCCCTGCTTTGAAACGGCCTTGTATGATGTGTCTCACGTTGTTATTTTTAATAAGTTCTGCAAGAGATACTGAAGATTTTTTCTTACGATATACCCAAGTCCGGAGGGAGGTCGCGTCACCTGCCGACTGACGCAGGTACTCACTGGGCATGGTTGCTTCGGTGAGTACCTGAAGCGTATCGGACGCGAGGAGACGGCACAATGCCAGCACTGCGCAGCCGACTGGGACTCCACCCAGCACACGCTGGAAGACTGCCCCGCGTCTGAACGCGAAGTCCTGGTCGGCCAATTCGGAAGAGAACTGTCCCCGCCAGCAATTATTGCTGCCATGCTGGCGGGTGAGGAGGGATGGGGCGCAGTGGTCTCTTTCTGTGAAGCTGTAATGCTCCAGAAAGAGACCGCTGAACGGGATCGGAAGAGGGCCGATCCCGAGTGTAGAGGACGTCGGCGACCATAACAGCCGCCGACGAAGCCGCGGGCCGTCAGAGAGTGGGAACCTCCGGTGGCAGATTGAATGCTGCGGTAGGGGATAGGATGGCGGCCTGATTGCATTAAGACGAAATTGGGCCGCCACGTCGCGATTGAGGGGGGAAGCGTTTTTCCCCTGGGATAGGGCCTGATGAGGCATGGTGTCAATTCGGGGAGGACCTGAAATAACATGGTCCATGTCCTCCCAGAGTAGGGCACCTGAGGCCGGCCGTCGGGGTGGTTTTTAGTGGAATCATCACATACTCCTAGCTTCTGCGTCCCCGAGGAGCAGGAGATCCGACGGGATTTTCCACTCCGTCAAAAAAAAAAGGGTATACCCAAGTCCATAGCAATGGCTTCACCTCACTTCTACACTTTTAGTCAGTTTTACAACGAAATACCCGTTCACCCTTCAACAGTCCCAGTTAACTAATGGCTCGTGGTCTTCCCACAGGTCTTCACAACCTTAACGACTTAAAGGTGTCAATATTTACCTGTAGAAAGCTTACAGACCCATGGGCTGTGTTGGTGTCTCTGAGCTGAGGATCAGCAGCCACCAGCAGATGCCTCAATCTTCCCGCGCCACCGTCCAGTGCGCGGTGCCATGAAATGTGATCACCAGCGCATAACTTGTTACCTAGACATAAATATGAATAGTAAAATAATGTTTGCAGAAACATTTGAGGTTATAATTATTTGTGATTTTTTTGTACAATAGAAAAGGAGAAGAAGAGAGAAGTAAGAACCTCTTCGAGCCAGCTAGATGACCCAGACGTGCTGAAGTACAATAATTAATGTTGGAGTGCTATTTAATTATCTTTACTGTAATCAACATTTTAATAACGCGATGCAGAATCTAGTGTTAGTTCAAATCGTCTCCGCTAGATGGCGTAAACTCTTGTGTTGTGGCGTATTTTTCAAGACATTTTGGTCTGTTACAACATTTTTATACGCGTAAGCTAACCACAGATTTATTAATATTATAACTAGCGATCCGCCCTAGCTTCGCACGGGTGCAATGTAGATACTACTAATGTGGTGGATGTTGCACTTTATTTGCTGTATTTATATCCTACGGCCCGACGCGGAGACAGCCGCTTTGCCCCCGAATTTTAAATCTCTGATATCTACTAAGATATTCACTTTAATGATATGCTGTGAAAGGCTATTTTGATCTACATTAAATATAAAAAGTATCTAACTTATTTATTTGGAGATATGTTCAAATTAGCTTCATAAATTACCCTTTATTTTGTGTAATATGTAAAAGGTAATAATGGTTACCGTGGGATATCCTTAGGAGATATTAGGACATACCATTGCTGAATTATTGTAGGTTTTTCTAGGACATATTATTGGACAGAACGCAGGAGCACTAAAAAAATGATGATAACACTCACCAGTAGTAAAAACGTATCTAGCCAACGCTTGAAGCAAAGCCGCCGGCCACAGAGGAGGTTGGGTCACTCCTTCCGCTGACAGACGAAACGTCAGCTCGAACCCATAACCAGAGGGAGCTCCAGGGCTTGGGTCCGGAGGCGGGTGGACTCGACCATCGCCGTGAAGGTCTGATAGACCAAAACTAGAAACAAGACAACATATAAAGCATTAAGTTTTTGCCCTCGCTTTTGGGGTGTTTTACCAAAAAATTGCACGAACAATCTGGCAGTATCCCGGCAGTAGTAATTTATTTATTTACTACTTTATGCACCTTGTCTACAATGGTGGATCTAATGCCAAAGGCATGCTGTGCCGTTTTACCTCAGGTACCAGGGCTTTCCTTTCTAGATTATACCTGGTTCCCCGCCTACCAAACCGACCAAAAACCGCACGCCGTCCAGGTTGGTGATGAATAATGACCAATGACCGTCTGGACATCATCTGAATGCGTTGCTGCTTATTGAGTGCCACCAAAAATTTGGGGGTTTGGTTTCCGGTAACCTTACTTACTTTTTTTTTTTGTTAATACACATATTATATATAGAAAACAGAAACAAATATTTGCAGATCATACAAACATTTGGCCCAACCCGGGAATCAAACCCGAAACCTCAGCTCAGCAATCGCATACGTTACCACTGCACTACCGATTATACAGGGTTACAAGAAAAGTCGTGCTAGATCCGTTAAGGGCGTGGAGTACCCATCATTTCTGACATATTTCACTATGAAACACCCTACCCTAAACTTAACCCTTTTCGAGATAATCGTCTTTTAATTTTTTTATTGAAATTGGCTGATTTTTAGGCTACTACATTTATTTTTGTTTATTTTGTGTATCTTATTATTATTATTTTTGCATTTTTACATGTGTAATAAGATGCTTTAGGACGTCAGTCATTAAAATAGTTCATAATTTAATTGAATAGATCGTAGTAGACAAGTGAAAGTAAAGAAATAAAAAAAAAAATTAGAAAATTATTTTTCTCTAACGGATATCTAAAAACAATATTATGGTAATTGTTCGGCAGATGTTTTTTTAAAATATCTACGTTTCATCTAACTATCTAACTATCTAACGAGGTATAATAATCTAAGGTTTTATTCAAATGCATTGAAAAAACTTTAGTTTCATAGGCGACAGTGGAGAAGAAAAATTATACTTAGCCCAAAAAAGTAAAATAAAACAATAGTTAAGCATGAAATGTCATTTATTAAAGGTTTTCACACAACTTTTTCTTATTCTACAGTTCATGTTCAACATGGCCGCCTCTATTTCTGATACATTGTCGCATCCTTCTACGGAGACCAGTCTTCACTACTCCAGTGGTCAACGTGGTCCTCATTTTATTTGCTGCATCCACAATCCTTTCTCGTAAGTCTTCCACAGACGAAACTGGATTCGGCTCGCTGTACACAAGACTTTTCATGCACCCCCACACATGAAAATACATGGGGTTAGGTCCGGACTTCTTGCTGGCCATGGCAACGGCCCACCTCGTCCTATCCATTTGTTTGGATAATTTGTGTCCAGCCAGTCCCTGACACTTCTCCTGAAATGGGCAGGGCAGCCATCGTGTTGGAACCACATGTCCCTGATCAGGTTGAGTGGCAGATCATTCAGCAAATCACTTAAGTCTGCTCTCAGGAAATTTTCGTAGCTTTCCCCATTTAGATTATCCGGGAGAAAGTAAGGTCCAATCAAATGATTGGAGATAATGCCCATCCACACATTCACGCTGAATCTTCGTTGTTACCCCTTCACTCTTTTCTTATTGGGATTCCTTAGTTCTTTTGGGGCCCAGTAATGGGCGTTGTGATAGTTAGTTATGTCATCTTTATCAAATTTGGACTCATCCGTCCACAAGATATTTCTTAGAAAATCTGGGTCTTCTACGTCAGCATTTAGCATAAATCTGCAAAAGTCCAATCTTCTCGCGGGGTCTCCTTCTTTAATAACGTGTACCGGCGTGTAATGGTACGGGTATAGGCCAGCAGTATGCACTGTAAACCACACTCTCCATTCCATTATCTCATTGTCCTGTTCTTCGTCGTCAATTCGTGGTCTTCCCATGTCTGTATTTCGTCTCAAAACAGAGCCAGTTTCTCGAAGTCTTCGATAAACTCTGTCAAAAACGGCCACATCCTTCACTCGACGACCAGGGTAGCGAGTTATGTATTCGTTGCGAGCTTGCGCAGACACACAATCGCAGTATCCGTAACAAATAAGCATATTCCTCAGGTGTGTAGGACGTCATCTTCAACACTTCCGTATCACAGGTACAAATCAGAGTCCGGTTAACAAGCACAGTAGTCACAAATCAGAAGAAATAGTCCAGAATCACAGCCAAGTCGAGAAAAAGAGCAAAACGATATCACATCTACTATGTACGAAGCACAAAAGCAGACTGACAACTAGTGACAACCAAACAATGCCCCCTGTTGTATTCCCAGCCCTAACCGGTCTCTACACATTTTTTCTTTCATTCGCACCTACATAAATCGTCACTTGTCTCGCTCGCTTGGTGCGTCTTAACTTGAAGGACCTGGAGCGTCCCCAACTACTTTTTTTCCACGAAATGTAATACAAACCCTAGATTGTTATACCTCGTTAGATAGCTGATGAAACGTAGATATTTTAAAAACATCTGCCGAACAATTACCATAATATTGTTTTTAGATATCCGTTAGAGAAAAATAATTTTCTAATTTTTTATTTTATTTTTTTACATTCACTTGTCTACTACGATCTATTCAATTAACTTATGAACTATTTTAATGACTGACGTCCTAAAGCATCTTATTACACATGTAAAAATGCAAAAATAATAATAATAAGATACACAAAATAAACAAAAATAAATGTAGTAGCCTAAAAATCAGCCAATTTCAATAAAAAAATTAAAAGACGATTATCTCGAAAAGGGTTAAGTTTAGGGTAGGGTGTTTCATAGTGAAATATGTCAGAAATGATGGGTACTCCACGCCCTTAACGGATCTAGCACGACTTTTCTTGTAACCCTGTATATATACCGAATACAGTCATTGGGATAGCATTTTTTTCTGTGCGGGAATCCCTTCGGATACCACCCACCGGTGGTTATGTTGGACATAAACCGACCAAAAACCGCAAGCCGTCTCGGGTACCAGTAGCCGGGGAACACCCTAGAACCCCGACAGAAACCAGCCCCTCAAGTGTGGCGCGCCCCACAGCGCCGCACAGCGGTTTTAGTAGAGGTTTTTTTGTTCAGGGTCGATTACTAGAAGGACAAACTGGTGTGTGACCCCAGGGTTCTTCGAAACATTGCAGTCTTAATCTCGTATCCCATGTGACACTTCCTGTATCTGGACACTTCAGGAAAATGATCATTATTAGAAGGGACAAAGAAAGGTTCGCTCTGCATTCTCCATCGTATATATCATGGAGATTGCTCCGAGGAATTGTTCGGACTAATAATGGCCGCAACTTTCCGCCATCCTTCCACACGGCAAAATTTTCATCCCCACCACTTGGACAATTGGTGCTCCACCACTGTGCGCTTCTCAAGACACTTTTTGCCTCGAACTAGCAATCTGTGGAACAAGTTATCGGCTGCGGTATTTCCGGACCGATACGACCTTCAAACCTTCAAGAATAGAGCGTACTCCTTCCTAAAAGGCTGGCAGCGCGCTTGTGACTCCTGAGTTGCAGGACCCGTCTGCTCGTTTGCCCCCTATTCAATTGAGGTAGGTCAAGGGATGCCGCCAGATAATGCACTAGCTGGAAGAGGCCAGGTCGCGTACCCGTACCCGAACACGGAACAGGGACAGCAACTGGCCTACAAAGAAATACAAAAGAAGAAACCTACGAACCTCACATAATGCCAGTGAGGCAATATATTCTCCTCGGGTTTTCCAGGGTTCCAGTACATACTGATGTAGTCCAAAGGGTCGTGTCCTCCTAACCTGACACAAAAACAAACAGCGTCAAAATTTAGGATCAGTAATCAAGTGTAAGCCACTACATGATGTAAAGTGGGTACCTGTGAATATAAATAAACATTGTGATTGCCAATAGGCGGGTCCACACAGAGCGAGCGGCCTTGGGAGGCATTTGTCGCTCTGTGTGGATATGTCTCAGCTGAGGAAAGTGCGCACGTAGCCGAGGCTGAGCAACCTAGTGTCAGTTTTCTATTTTATTCAAAAAAGCTCTGGACGCGCACGTGTTTGTTTTGTGAATAGAGACAATACCAGGGCTGCCGCGCTGGTTCGGGACAGTTGCTCACTCTGTGTGGACCCGTTTTATAAAGAATCTATTTGGCTATGCAAAGACATACTTATGGTGTTGCCAATATGCAGGGAGATCATAGCCAGTTACTTACATTGAAGTATTAAATATATATTTATTGTGTTGTTATGTTATATAGTGGGATTTAAAAAAGTAACCAACAAATATTTTTTTATAGCGTAAGGGTTTAAAAAGCCGATGGTTTACCTGCCACCAACTTAAACACACACAAGTGTGCTTCGGCCATTTGAATTGAGCCACTGTCCCCAGAAATGATGACGACCGGATGGCGTAGTGGTTTGTGTAACGGACTGCTATTCCAAAGGTCGCGGGTTCGATTCCCGCTCAAGTCAAACATTTGTGTGCATGAACATTTGATGTTTGATTTGGTCTGGGTGTTTCTATGTATAATATGTATGTATTTACAAAAAAAAAGTATTTATATCAGTTGTCTAGTACCCATAGTACAAGCTCTGCTTAGTTTGGGACTAGATGGCGTTGTGTGTATGTGGTAGAATATTATTATTATTATTATTAAATATGGGATGAAGAGTTGGGCCTCGAGAAAACTCAGTGAAAAGAACTGTTTATCATGGCTTTTCTGTGAGACCGTATGTTTACTCAGGTGGATATTACTGGCCAATGTGGTGAAGCATAACACGCCCAATTTGCACAGATCTCCTTTCTCAATTTTTTGGGCAACTTCTGCACTAGAAATACGCTTGCTGTGTCACGTAGGACCTAACAGATATACATGAAACGGACACTAAGAACTCCGAACAACAATTTGTGGATCACACAAAGTACTCTCCCATGTAGGCATCAAACCCACAACACTTAGCGCAGTAGGAAGCTGCGAGGTGACAAGGTGACTACTTCAACCATCCGTGTAGTGCATCTAAACCACGATATCTATATCAAGATTAAAATGGTGTTCTTACCAATATTTAAGGCGTGTAGTAACCTGCAGAGGATTAGGCTGGTCTGGGTATAGTCTAGAACAAGTCTCACACAGAGCTTTTAGACCAGCTGGGACCAGACGATCTGTAAGCAAACATATTTACCAAAATTATATCATCATCATCATCATCATCAACAGCCTTTAATAGTCCACTGCTGGACATAGGCCTCTCCTTAGAAATTAGGTTTTGGCCTACTATACCATGCTGGCCAGACGGGTTGGTATAGGGTTTGTGTCAAGTTTTCCGTCTTTTTGCAGTGCTGGTGTCCTGCGCCTTTAGTCCGCTCTTACGACACCCACGGGATGAATTGGGGTAGTGACATTCCATATTCTTAATCCGTCACTACACGGACATTTTGAGTTACAGTTATTATATTAATATACCAACTGGTGCCCATGAATTTGTTCACATGGGATTTGAAAAGCGCTGATTTAGTGGGTATGATTCCCGGGCCTGGCAACATTTTACAGGGTTTTTCTGAGAGGTTACACCTTATATAGACAGCTACCTGGTAGTAAAATATGATTAAAATCGGTCAAGCTGTTTTCAAGATCACCCGGAACAAAGAGGTATAGGTATCATGTAAATAACTTTGACCTTTTTTTATTTTGACATTACAAACAGACACTTTATTTATTTGTATAGATGGCTTTAGGTATTTGTATATTTAATGGTTTAAGAAGTTAACAAACTTTAAGTCCCTGCCTCTAAAATCAGGGAGTGGGGGTGGGTTTGGGACCCAGCTAAATCACACTAGTTTTCTGTGAGGCAGTGGTTACTCCATTTGTACTGAAGCACAGCTCTTAATTGAAGTAATCATCACAGTTATTTTCATCAGATTTCATAATTTATTGAGTGATTGAAGCGGTATCATAACTTGTATTTTATGAACCCAATGTAAGCCCCCCCCTTAAATCACCATCATCATCTGCCTACCCTTGTCCCAAATTTGTTTGGGGTCGGTGCAGTATGTATGATTTTTCCCTTCTCTATCACATGTTATCTCACTGTTTACTCCCTTCCTAGCCATATCCTCAATCACACAGTCCATGCACCTTTTCTTTGGTCTTCCTCTGCTCTTGTACCCTTCAACTCCCATAACTAACACTTTCTTCTCCACATTTTCCTCATCCCTCCGCATGTAAATGACATCTCATAAACCATTCTATGGAGGTTTGGTCACTGCTGGCACCTTATGTTAAGGCACTGGAGTGAACACCATTATCAGTAGAAACTTTCTTACTATAAAACAAGTCAGAGTATAATAAATAATAATTAGTGCTTTAGGACCACTTAATAAAATTTAATAATCAAAGGCTCTTCCTAGCAGTTTACATTTTCATTTATTCTTTATAAAATCTTGTTAATCTTTAGTTTGATCAAAAGCTAAGGCCGGCGCTGATCCTCGTCAAGTGTGTATCGTTAACATTACGAATCCTTTCATTCATTTGTAAAACCATGGTGTACCATCTCATCAGTCGCAAGTAATGGGCGTAACCAGCCTTATAACAATTTAATTTATCTTGAAATTTCACATAAAACCAAGTTATAATTCCGTAAGCATACTGAAGTGAAAATAAAATGTCTTTTCATTAAATAATTAAGCCAAGGAAATCTTACCAGTTTGATTTATTTGTTCCCTGTCCATATCCTGTGAGTTTCCTGGTACACCGTCAGCTGTTGTAGGGAGTTGCGCAGGCGCCACAAACGACAGTGCACTACTTCTTACCAAACCGCTAGGAGGCGGAGCACCAGTACCGCTGCCGGTTGACATTTTAAGCACTTTGCTGATGGTATTAAGTAAATAATTTAGTTTTAGCCCTAGGTTAAGGGAATAATGAAACCTCCCCTCACCGTGAAACTAAGAAGCAAGTTTAATTTTTTTCCTGTATAATCTGTGGTATCATTTTTTTTTGTTGTTTTAGTTTTAAATACGTTTCGCAGTCCCACTTTTAATAATTTAAACATAGGGACTGCTTAAAAGTTGTAAGAAAATACTTTCCACAGAAGTTTACTAACTAGGGAAAGATAAATAGGTGCTGTCCAAATTAATATATATTTTGTACGTAATTGTTATATATAGTATAAAAAATGTGAATTCAAACGTTCCGTCATCATGCGATTGTAAACTATGTTTACACATATTTGTTATCCTTAGCCTTCCAAAACAGAATATAAATTATTACGATAATCTAAACCAAAATATAATTTCAGTACTTATTTTTATTTAACATGTTTATATACCAGGAAATCCGGTGCATAATAATTATTAACCAATCACTAGTCTAGTGAAACAAATTGACAAATTATTTATCATTGTCAATGTCAATCGTACGTCAATTAACGACATTGTATTTCAGAACGATATCCGCTCGCACGGTTGTTTATTTGTTTGTTATTTCGTTTATTTCAGTCGTTTTACTCTATTTATAAACACAAAAATTCACTTGTCAACTATAAATAACTTTCTTACGTCCTGTGCTGCATTACACGTAACATATAGCCCATAAAACGTACTTTTTAATAAAAATGCGGTACCTATTTCTTATTAGTATATTTAGCGTAGTTTTCGCGTACGAAAAAGATATCACAATTATGATACAGGCTGGAAAAGTGGACTGTTTCTTTCATAAAGTGCTTCCCAACCAAATCATCGACATAGAATATCAGGTATGGTGAAATATTCTTTTTATCTGCGAAGGTAGATAACTCTAGGATGATTGTAGATTATATTTTTTATTACCTATAAAACCTTGTCTACAAAACATTATTTATGGCTTAAAGTCTTAAGTTGAGCTAGCAAGGTCTTAAAACGACTGTTATCATGAATATTCTCTATATTATAGTTCTTATTTATCATTGCAAATTTTGTTTTGGTGTGTTGTTAGTAGAGAAACAGATTACATACTTTTATAATGTTTTCTTCGTCTGTTTGGTGACGGATTAAGAATACGGAGTGTCGCCATCCTGTGGGTGTTGTAAGAGCAGACTAAGGGAGCGAACTATGAATGACAACAGTAATGCAAAGAGAAGGAAAACTTAAAACAAACACGATACTAACCCGTCTGGCCAGCATTGTATAGTAGGCTGAAACCGCGTTTCTAAGGAGAGACCTATGTCCAGCAGTGGACTATTAAAGGCTGTTCATGCGAAATTGTGATGAAAATGTTTTCTTGCCTAACTTTCCGTAACTTGGTTCATTATATTTGTACACTATACATATTTAGACCCATATCTTTAAGGGGAAAGGCAAAGGTAATAATAATATTTAATATAATATTTTCACACATCTCACACACGGCTGTCTAGTCCCAAACTAGGCAAAAGCCTGTACCATGGTAACCAGACTGCTGATAAACATACTTATATATTTCTAAATACATACATATTATAGATAAAGTACACCCAGACACAGAACAAAAGGTGTATGAAAGGCATTACAGAGATACATGTATTTTTTTAAAAATATGTATGTAGTATGGGTTTGCTTCTGTCTGGCGTCTGTGTGGTGACGGATTAAGAATACAGAGTGTCACCACCCCTATTCATCCCGTGGGTGTCGTAAGAGCCGACTAAGGGAGAAAGCTACCCAGAACAACAGCACTGCAGAGAGAAGGAAAACTTGAAACAAACCCTATACCAACCCGTTTGGCCAGCGTGGTATAGTAGGCCAAAACCTCCCTTCTAAGGAGAGGCCTATATCCAGCAGTGGACTATTAAAGGCTGTTGATGACTGATGGGTTTGCTTCTGAACCTGTTTTCATATAAAATCTTGAGAAAGAAATAAAAATGTTTATTCTGAATAAAACTTACAGTACCTACAGTACAGCTTATACACTAAACTTAGTTTTTAAAGTAATTGGTTATTTCTGTCTGTGTTTTTTTTTAAACTGAGTCTCAAACTTGTCTTGCGTTTTATTCTCGTCAAGATTGCTTGATTATCATCGGCATGTCTTTCAAATAATTCATTCACACTGTCAACTAGTTCCAACTGTCGCACTTAATATGTAAGTCGTGAGTCCTATAAAACGCCAGCTCAAATGGCAAAGTGCTAATAAGCCAAAATATTCCTTCATAGATTAGGATAAGTTTGAAAATTGTTTGTATTTTTTTGTTTTGATAAATATCAAAAGTTTCATCATAGTTGCAAGTATTACTTAATTGTTTGTATAGAAATTCGTCCAAGATCTTGCCTTGCAGTAGTAATAACTGTTTCGTCATAATAAACAATGTCGTTATATTTGATTTCTACTGTATGTTAAACAGAAGAGGAAGGTAAAATGGAAAGACAATGGTAGGACATCGATGTTGTTTATATAGACTGTTACTGGTGACGGATTAAGAATAGGGAGTATCACCACCCCTATTCATCCCATGGGTTTCGTAGGAGCCGACTAAGGGAGCAAACTATGCAGGTCAACAGCACTGCAAAGAGAAGTAAAACTTGAAACAAACCCTATACCAACCCGTCTGCCCAGCGTGGTGTAGCATCTGCTTGTGTGTGGTGGACTGTTACAGGCTGTTGATAATGATGATAATATAGACAGATTAGGGCAATAGCTCCAGGGAGGGCTATGTTTTGCCATGATAGAACTATGGATCTGATAGAATGGGTATAACACTATTGTTTTTACAACTATGTGAATGGACATTTGTTGCGAAGAGAAAGAAACAAATTAAAATACAGACTATTGTAAATTTATTTGTGTGTAAAAATATGTGTGTAACAATATATGGTATGTATTTGAGCTTTAAAATTAGTTATACGCCCACCACACACTTCTCTGTGTCACCCAAATGTTGACTAGTAGATAATGCTAGTATTAGTCCGCGTCATATAATTTTAGATTATCCATAACCATCTCTGAAGCTTGTTGTATATTGTGTCAAAATTTGAGCATAATCGGTGCAAAACTTTTTGCGTTGTTGAAGTGTATACAAATCAACTTAGCCTTTATATACGTATGTATATACATACTAGTGATCCGCCCCGGCTTCGCACGGGTCCAATGTAGATACTACTAATGCCACTAATGTGGTGTCAATTTGGAGTGATTAATTATACTATTAATATGATAAGACTATACTACAGAACATCTTTAAATGCAATATTTATCCGATTCTGCCGGCCTCTGCCACCCGACAGACGTATGGCGCGACGGTAGTTGGACCCCCGCGTTTTAAACATCTAATGCTGTACAGAGAGAGATTTTAATCTACATTGAATACATAATGTATCATCATCATCATCATCAACAGCCTTTAATAGTCCACTGCTGGACATAAGCCTCTCCTTAGAAAGGAGGTTTTGGCCTACTATACCAAGCTGGCCAGACGGGTTGGTAAAGGGTTTGTGTCAAGTTTTCCTTCTCTCTGCAGTGCTGTTGTCCTGCTTAGTTTTTTCCTTAGTCGTCTCTTACGACACCCACGGGATGAATAGGGGTGGTGACACTGTATTCTTAATCCGTCACCACACGGACGACATAATGTATCTAACGTGTTTAATTGGATAAGGAATAATAATGTATTGTTTAAAAAAGCTTCGTAAATAACTCATAATTTTTTTGTAGTATTTAAAAGATGAAAATGGTTACTGTGAGTTATCGATAGGAGATAGACAGACACCATTGCGGACTTTTTTGTAGATCTTTTTAAGATATACAATTCCGTAGCACATTAGTTTGGTCTATCTCGTAAGGTTTAGCCACCGTTTGCAATGTAAGCGCACATGAACACGTTTTTTTACAATAAATCTTTGAAATACTCGGATTTCCCTAACTAGAATGTGCATGTATTTATACATTTATACAAATAAATAAAATTGGAGTGTCTGTTTGTAATATTAAAATAACCGCTTTTTACTAAATGCATATGTATGTTTACACGGTACATATGCCAAAATAACATTTTTTACAATTTTTGTCTGTCTGTCTGTCTGTTTGTTCCGGGTAATCTCTGGAACGGCTGGACCGATTTCGACGGGACTTTCACTGGCAGATAGCTGATGACATAAGGAGTAACTTAGGTTACTTTTTTTAGACTAGCTTCGCCCCGCGGCGTTGCCCGCGGTTATAATAACAAACGCGGGTAACACCGCGGGTCTCAGCTAGTTATAAATATAAACCTTCTTGCCGTTTTGAGAATAGTTGCCTTTGGAGAATAGAAGAGACCTCATGGCACTGATGCTATGAGTTTTCTTCTTTTCTCCTCTATCACGCGACTGTCTCCACTCTCTTTAAAAAAAAGGGCTTAGCTATAAATCAGGTTGTATTCTATTTTTGTTTTGAATGGTACACTTTCCGTGTGATCTCATTAAAATTTGAAGAAGAATAAAACCTGAAGGAGTGGGAAAATAATTAATTAATACGTTTATATAAACCGGCATATGGGGCAAAAAAAATAGTGAGTAGGCCTTCTACAAGGTGGTCCAACGGCCTGGTGAAGTACAGGACCGGTTGTTGTGGCGAACCTTGGGGGAGGCTTATGTCAGTGGCGGCGGAGGCGCGCTTACCAGAGCCTCATACCGCCCCGAGTGTGTGGTTTTCCCCTCAACCCGCCGTATTGGCCAGCCGCGAGGAGGCGACGTTTGCGTGTGCCGGACGTCGCCTAAACAAAGAATGTACCCGAAAGTGATGCCCGCGCCTTTGCGGGCAGGCGCTAGGAGGGGTCCGGATGTCTTAATAACAGCAGTTCCCGGATCTCTCCTATTACAGGCGCAGAGTGGCACATCGTGTGGTTGTAGTCGGTACCACCCCAGTGGGGTGAGCGGCCCGAAGATTTTCACACGTAAAAAAAAATGGCTATGTCTATGTCAGAGGACGTCTGTCGGCTGAGATGACGGAATACAGTTTATTACAATTCATCGTGATGATTTCAATTCCAAATCGGTTATTTTTTAAGTATATTTTCTAAGCAGACGAAAGCTCCATCTAGTGTAGAAATGGCGTATGGGACGTTACCTATCACAATAATACTTAAATATTTGATTGTTCACTAGCTATACGGGCTGTTATCTCGACAATAAAACAGTATTTTTAATAGGCAAGTCATGTTAATTAATAACTGTTGGTTGTGTACGTTATTGCGATAAAAATGTATTTTTAAGCTATTGCATAGCTTCTATCGAGGGCCTTGAGCGCGGGGACCGAATCCAGAAATTCCGTAACGAAAAAAACCTCACGCTAAAAACAAAACAAAAAACAGTACCAAAATCAAATGCTGAACGTCAAAGGAAATTTCGTCAACATAATGCAGAAAAATCTTAAATGGATATGTAATTTGATTTAATAATAATATTTATTTATTTATTTATTTAAAAACAAATTGTAATATATGCTTCAATATTTTTATTTAATAAAAGAAAAAAAAATGTTTTCTTATCGGTCCCACGCTCAAAAAGTGTAACTTGAATTAATATCAAAGAAATAGAAATACTGCATAAATAAAATAAATAAATAATTATAATTGCATAAGTTGATACAAAATGCTATGCAATAGCTTTACCGCTGCAGTCTCCGAGTGCCACACGTCTTTTTTATTATTATTATAACTGCATGTATCACACACGGCTGTTTAGTATTAAATTAGACAGCCTGTGCTATGGTAACCAGACTGATGATACACATACTTAAATACCACTAAATACATAAATATATCTATACCAACAATATAAAGCTGAAGAGTTTGTTTGTTTGTTTGTTTGTTTGTTTGTTTGAACGCGCTAATCTCAGGAACTTCTACTCCGATTTGAAAAATTCTTTCAGTGTTAGATAGCCCATTTATCGAGGAAGACTATAGGCTATATATCATCACGCTAAGAGCAATAGGAGCGGAGCACCAATGAAGAATGTTTCAAAAACGGAGAAAGTTTATTACTATTGAGAGACGCAGACGAAGTTGCGCGGGTCAGCTAGTTATAGATAAATTATACCCAGACACAGATCAGGCTGCTCATAGTACTCGAACCCACGATTTTTGACTCAGCAGTTAGGCCCATTAAGGGATCACGTGCAGTGTCACCACCCCTATTCATCCCATGGGTGTCGCAAGAGCCGACTAAGCAAACTACGCAGGACAACAGCACTGCAAAGAGAAGGAAAAATTGACAAAAACCCTATATCAGCCCGTCTGGCCAGCGTGGTATAGTAGACCAAAACCTCCTTTCTAAGGAGAGGCCTATGTCCAGCAGTGGACTATTAAAGGCTGTTGTTGTGATGTGATGTGACAGAATAAATGATCGTATTCATCACACAACAATTAACAATTATATCAAAAGGCCTAACTAGATTAATTTCCTTTATTTCAAAACACAATTCTTTTACCAATGTGTTCTATCTGTTAACATAACAAAAACCAGGAAAATATTGTGTGATGATCACAATCATTTGTTCTGTGTCTGGGTGTAATGTGTCTATAGCACGAAATATACAAGTATGTTTATCAGCAGTCTGGTTATTGTAGTACAGACTCTGCCTAGTTTGGGATCAGACGGCCGTGTGCAAAATGTGTGACATGTGTGAAGTTAATATTATCATTGTTGCGTCTTGTTGCGCCATGGTTCTAGTGTTGAGTCGTTGGTTCATGAACAATCAAAAGCTGTATAGAATCTTGAGGACAGCGCCATCTAGTATCAAGAATTGCATAACGAGATTTTGGTTATGGGAGCTAACTACGCAGAAAAACAGCACTGCAAAGAGAAGGAAAACTTGAAACTAACCCTATACCAACCCGCCTAGATAGCGTGGTATAGTAGCCCAAAACCTCCTTTCTAATTAGAGGCCTATGTCCAGCAGTGGACTGTTAAAGACTGGATGATGATGATGAGGTTGCTTGGAATATTTAAAAGAAAACTTCGTTTCTTTGCCAACAGGTAATAGATTCGACACATGGCGACCTGGACGTGTCTTTCCAGCTCACAGACCCGACGGGACGTATCCTCGTTGCAGATTACAAGAAGCCAGAAAACACCCACAGGCACAACGCTGTGCTCGAAGGCGATTATCGATTCTGTTTCGATAATAGCTTCAGCACTTTTAGCCAGAAGACGGTGAGATATTCTTTTTAACGGACTTCCAAAAGGAGGAGGTTATTAATTCTAATGTTTATATATTTTTAGGGTTCCTTACCTCAAAAGGTAAAAAAGGAACCCTTATAAGATCATTTTCTTCTCCGTCTGTCCGTGTGTCACAACCGATTTTCTCAGGAACGGGTAGACCTAGCAAGTTGAAATTTATGCCAGATACTGAGGTCTATGGTCCCTATTAGGTGTATAAAAATAAAGGTCCTCAGTCAACACGATAAAAAGATATGGGCAAATTTCGATTTTCCACGAAAACTTGTAAGTACCAAAATTTTCAACTTTCAACTAAATTTTTCAGAATTTTCTTTTTACTTGTGCTGTACCCTATAGGTTTTGGGTTGAAAACCTATGTATATGGTAGTTCCCGTTAACCTATAATCACGAAATTTGGCAAAAAGAAACGTCTTACAGCACTAATAAAGGAATAATTCCAAAAAATAAAAAAAAGTTGAAAATTAAGATAAATTTTGATACTTACAAATTTTCGCGAAAATCTACGTCAAATCTGGGTAGGTTCGAAAGGGGTTTATTCCGGTTTGCTGCTAGGTTTTTAGTGCTCTTTGTTAGTATTGTTTGAAGTCGGTTTAATAAATTATTTTAGAAAATATTTTTTTGAGAAAAGACGCAGTGTGCGCTGAGACAATAAAATTAAATCGTAGTAACTGAAACGAAAAGATTTATAAAATGTTTCTCTTCAGGTATTCTTCGATATACTAATAGACAATGATGAACCAGAGGAGAAAGACTATGATGATGACAAGGAGATGGAATTAGGTAAGGGTGCTTTTTTTCTTTTTGCGATTTTCCTGCACCAAAATCTTCACTAAACGCAACGCCGTTTATGTGAAATAAACTTGCATTCGGCTCTCTGATCTAAGTCGGCCTATTTGTGTGGAGGCATGGCTCTCCCACGGCAAGCTAAACTATAAAAAATAGATATGTAATCTATTCTATGATACCAGGATTTCCACCTCTCCCTATGCTACAGGTAACGCAGCTGAAACCTATATGATGAGTGTGAAAGACATATCAGAATCAGTGACCCGTGTCAAAGAGCGTGTATCTACTGCAAGAAGACTGCAGGAGCTGCATTCTGCTCACGAAGCCAGGGATAGGAATTTAGCAGAAGAAATGTGTGATAGGTAAGAATATGCATATGTATATTCACGTATTTTCCATCTGAGGGGTTGGCAGAAGCGAAATGACATTCACGTTTTACGTAGTATTGGAAAAGTCCACTAGAGGCGATGGGATTTAATGATAGGGAAATTGGTAGTTAATAATAATCGGATACATCTCACACACGACCGTCTGATCGCGAACTAGACAGAGCAGGTATGGTAAGTAGACTGCTCAGAAACAGACTGCATGGATGACGTGTTTAAGCGGTCCCCTCGCTGCTTCCTACTACGCTTAGTGTTGTGGGTTCGACCCTCACACGAGACAACACTATGTGTCATCCACAAGTTCTGAGTCTGGGTGTTCTTTATGTCCCTTTGTGAAGTCCCTCGTAACACTGGATATATTCCTAACTAGCTGGTGCCCGCGATTTCGTTCGCGTGGCATTTGGAAAAGCGCTGCCTTTATGGGTTCGATGCCCGGACCGTCAAAATTTTATATTGTTTTTCTGAGAAAAAAAACAGCCTAAGTTACTCCTTACATAGACAGCTACTTGGTAGTAAGATATTATCAATATCCGTACAGCCGTTTTAAAGATTACTCGGCACAAACAGACAGATAGACAAATATATTTAAACTGGTTTTTAGGCTTAGCTATCGTGCAACCGTGTGAGCGTGAAAAACCTTATTATTTTGAAATTACAAACAGACACTTCAATTTTATTTTTTTGTATAGATGCGGGAGTTTACTTTTTAAAATAGAAAATAGATATATATATATTTCTAAGCACATATATATTATAGACTAGCTGAGCTAGTTTGTTGTTATAACCGCGGGGCAACGCCGCGGGGCGAAGCTAGTCTAAAAAAAGTAGCCTAAGTTACTCCTTATGTCATCAGCTATCTGCCAGTGAAAGTCCCGTCGAAATCGGTCCAGCCGATCCAGAGATTACCTGGAACAAACAGACAGACAGACAAAAATTGTAAAAGATGTTATTTTGGCATATGTACCGTGTAGACATACATATGCATTTAGTAAAAAGCGGTTATTTTAATATTACAAACAGACACTCCAATTTTATTTATTTGTATAGATACGAGTAATTTGACTGCACGAATGGCGTAGGGGTTTAAGCGTTCGCCACGCCGCTTCCTATTGCGTCGAGTGTTGTGGCTTCAAACCCCACATGGAACAACACTTTGTGTGATCCACAAATTGTTGTTCTGAGTCTGGGTGTACTTTGTGTCCGTTTCATGTATGTTTGTGAAGTCCCCCGCGACGCAGGATATATTCCTAATGCGGGAGTTGTCTTTTATAAAAGAATAGAAAGAAATAATTACAGTAGAAACAACCGTGTTTATATCATTGTTTGACCTGCTTTTTTGGCTCTGCAGTCAGGTTCACGAACCATTAGACCCCCAGACTACTTTAAATGGTTGTTTTGTGTGTTCCAGGGTCATGAACTGGTCCATATCTCAAATATTTTTAATGATATTCGTTGGAATAACGCAGGTGAGTTTTTATCTCTTATTTTCTCTTCTCTTTGTGTGCTGTGTTTCTTCAGTATCTTGTTTGAAGTTACATTTTTAACTTGGGATTTGGAAAAATAATACAATATTTTTTTTAGTGATATTATGATTTATAATGTACAAAAATTGAGGGGGTGGCGACAAGAAGTGCTGCGGAGCTATCGGGAGCACAGGATTGAATCATCTACCCGCCGTAGATGGTCCGAGGTACGTCAGAGTACCAGGGTGTCAGAGTGCGGTTTTTGGTCGGTTCGAGTCCGACATAGCCATCGGTGGGTGGAATCCGAAGGGATTTCCGCACAGAAAAAAAAATGGGGACAAAAAGACAGTTTAGCCAATAGCTCAAACAGCACAGAATCGCGTTTTTGTAACTTGAACTGGCTGTAGAACGTCCGAGACCAAAAATAAATTTACAACAGTTTTCATTGATGCTCGGCTCCCATTAGGGGGTAGCGTGATGTTACATTCCCTATAGCCTTCCTCGATAAATGGGCTATCCAATTCTAAAAGAATTTTTCGATTCAAACCAGTAGTTCCTAAAATTAGCGCGTTCAAACAAACAAACAATTTTTCATCTTTTAGTTTATATATTGCTTCTAAAACAACAATAATACATATAATATTTTTTGTTTACAGGTAGTATTCGTAAAAAGTCTATTCGATGACAAAGCTATGACATTTAGAAGATTAATTCCAGGTTTTTCCAAGTGAAGAGGCCGCCATCTTGCCAAAAAAATTATATTGATATATATTTGAAGATATTCTTCACGGTATTCATACAAAACTCATACACATATACGAACCTATATACGCTCGCATCGTTATCCCTTAAGGGGTAAACAGGGACGTATTAAATTTGTGGACTATACTTTTAGTCCCACCAGACATACAGTATATACAGAACATACAGTAAACATACTTACATATTTCTAAATACATACATATTATAGATAAATTACTCCCAAACAGAACAACGTGATCATCGCACAATTATTTGTGTCCTGGGTGGGTTTCAAATCCACTATCATAGTAGTCAGAGTCAAAAAGAACACACAAGGATAGCCAGCAGGCTCATCGGTCAGGATCGCCCTTTTTTTTTGTTTTTTGGTGACGGGATGGCAAATCCTTTCGGATCTCTGACTCCTAAGGAACGCAGGAGCTAGGTGTAAGTGGTTTTTCCCCTAAAAACCACCCTGACGGCCGGCCTCAGGGCCCTACTCTGGGAAGGATCCGGACCAAGTAATTTTAGGTCCCCTCCGGATCGACGCTGCACCTACTAGGCCCTATCCCGAGGAAAGCCAGAGACCTATAGAGAACCTATTATTTTTGCATATTTGGTGCAATCAGACCGCCATCATGCCCCTTACCGCAGTAATCAATCTGCCACCAGAGGTCCCCACTCTCTGGCAAGCTGCGGTCCCGGGATCGCCTTTTGCCGTCAACGTTACTTTAGAGAGACGAAACATCCAACAGAAAAGCATAAAAAGCAATGTTAACGACAAATAATTACATTAGGAAATTATTGTGTAATAAATTGTTTGTGAATACACAGGCCAACAAAATTTTTGGCCAGAAAGCAGAGTATACTTTCCCGAAGGATAAAATGTTAAGGATTACATAACCTCGAAAATTTTCATAAATTTTCAAAACCGGCGTTTTTGCACTTAGGTTAAGAATATGTCAAAAACCTCTGACGTGTTTGGACGAATTTGGATTCAGGGCACCAAAATCGTTCTGGAAAGTATACTATGGTTCCTGGTTTCTGGGTAAGAAACTTTGTCAAATTTTGTTGGCTTGTTTCATTATATACATATCTTGGGTGAGATATATTTTGTAGATGGTGCGATAGATTGGGTGAATAAATGTTTACTTTAGGACATTAAACAACTGTCCTGTCAAAAAACGAATTTGGCGCCAAAGAGCCGCCATATTGTTTTTAATTGTTACTCGGCATAATGTAAGGATTTAAACAATAGACATTAATAAACAAGTTATTGAAATAAAACCGACTGCGTGCAAATAAACACTGAAAACATAACAAAACGCTGGAAACCGACCATTTTAATTTTTATAATGTGAGTAGTGAGATATGTAATTTATGAAATGTATAGAAACTTTGTTTCATGGGCTGCTGGCAAACCTGGATCTACGATTTATTCGAAACTTAATAATAGCGCCCTCTCTCCAGCGTTTGAAGTAAATAACTTAAAAAAACTCACAAATATATTATGATGGTTGGCCTATTTTTGTGATTGGGAGGTAACGATGTATTGTTTTTCTTTTATTTTAAACCGTATTATATTATGATTTTGGTTGAGCGGGTGGTGGGTGAGGTTTACCCCCCCCCCCCCCCTAGATCCGGAGCTAGCTGCCGACATGGCTAGTTCGATCGGACTCCCACTGCCTCACAAAAAACCTGAATTCATTAGCTCTAGTTTTTTCCCACTGAGTGCGTGAGGTTGGCCGAAGCATTGTTCTCCAATGAAAGAAAGCTTCTTTACATTATAAATGCTAAAAATAGTTGCTTTTTAAATTTCGCGCTAAAACTTGCACATATGTCATATGAGTTTAGTGACGTCATTAACCGATAAATTGACAGTGTTCTTTAAATTAGTATAAATATATATCTAGGCAATATTAAAATAATACAGCTGTCAGTTTGTTTATCGCTTAATGACGTAATAGAATTGGTTAATGTTTTGTCAGCGATAATAGTTACTGTATAAGCAGTTTATGTCACACATTTTTATTTAGGTTGTTTATTTTTAATATATAAGATATGGTTTTACGGTTTTGTTACATCACAATCATTTAACTTCACCGTCCATGTTAAATTAGAGAATATTTATTTAATGAGTTCTTTTTTATATAAATCATTTAAATTATTAGGTATGACGCCATGTTTGAAAGTGTTCATTCTCTTTACTGGCATTAGTCCTTTAAAAGAGGGGAAGTGACGCCTTTTAGTAAAATTAAATTGTATTTGTAGTATTATTTAAATTCGTGAGCAATAAATATATACGCTTTTGTTTACGTTTTCTACCAAAAAAGTTAAAAAAAGCTACCATTTGTTATTTATGTTTTATATAGATGATTTTATTAAATCCATTAAAATTTCTGTGAAAAATTTAGGCAAATTTTATGTCCGGTTTAACAAATTTAGGGTTTTTTTCGAACGTATTTATTGGAGGACTCTATGGAGACCATGGTTTTACTCACTTCGTCGGAACACGGCTCCTTTTTTAGCAGTAGATGTTGTTAATCCTTTAGATAAGTCCCAAGCCCGAACCATTCTTCTTTTGTGGGTCTCCACTGTAATAAAAATGTCGTGAAGACCGTTTTTCACTTTTATACCCATCTCTTTCCCATCCATTACCAAAAGGCGCACCTTTGGACATTAAGAATTAAACAGGTACACTCTCTCTTAATATTGTAATAGATTTAACATATTGATATTAAATTAAAGGCTGAGTCAAACAGCGGACTGTACGGCGGCGTAGTGTACGCGGGTTGTAATGTACCAGTTAATTTAATACCATCGCACTTTGTTTGACTCTACCTGAACCGCAATAAGTTTCTTAAAAATTCCTTTGAAGACTATTTGCAAAGGTTACTACAGCGACTCCATTAGTAATAATTATTGTAAATAACTGTACCAAAGCATAAATGTAATTGAGCTACGAGAATTGATCATCTCTGTATGTCTGTATGAATTGACGTTTCAAACTAATCCAAATGTTTATTTGGATTAGTTTGAAACGTCAATTCTTTCATTGCCTTTCACTGAGTGAGTGAGGTTACCGGAGCCCAAATCCCCTTACCACTGACTCGAGGGAGGGACTCCAAGGGCAGCAACGCACTTGTGACTTTTTTGAGTTGCAGGTGTCAATGGGCGTCGGTAGTTGCTTACCATCAGGTGACCCGTCTGCTCGTTTGCCCCCTTATACCATAACAAAAAACCGCGGCTAGTTGAATGCAGCTAAGACCCGAGAAGACAAGATAGTATAATTAAATCTGCTCCCACCGATGAACCTCACAATCTCGTTTATTGATTAATGCATTCTAGGTCACACCAACATCACATCAACAGCCTATAAAAGTCCACTGCTGGATATAGGCCTCTCCTTAGAAAGGAGGTTTTGGTCTACTATACCACGCTGTCCAGACGGGTTGGTATAGGGTTTGTGTCAAGATTTCCTTCTTTTAACAGTGCTGTTGTCCTGCGTAGTTTGCTTCCTTAGTCGGCTCTTACGACACCCATGGGATGAATAGGGGTGGTGCCATTTCGTATTCTTAATCCGTTACCACACGGATATTTTAGATATCTGTATATAACTCACATACAAACATATGCAATAGAAACAAGAATTTACAAAGAAACGTACGATTATACATATGTATTAAAGGTGGGTTTCGCTTGAAGGGTTAATTCTTGTAGTTCAATATTGTTGTAGTAAATACTTTGTACTAGTACAAAATGTCCTACGCACAATAATTAGTTATAATTAATAAATTAAGGTAACTAGTCTATTGTGTTTTATTTCTCCTTATCTATACTTACTTGAAAAGTAAATAAAAAAGAAAAATTTTATATTGAGTAGGTTTTTTTTTAAGTTAAAGGGGGCAGACGAGCAGACGGGTCACTTGATGGAAAGTGACTATCGCCGCCCATGAACGTTTGCAACTCAGGAGTCACAGACGCCGGTACCAATAAGCGTGAGTGATTTCTTTGTTATAGGTAATTCTAATCTCTTCTGATGGAGCTGTGGTGTATTTCCATTTGTCTAATTGTTATGGAAATCTAGCATGCCTTACCTCCTACTCAGTGGCGGATTATCCCTATCGCAAAGTAGGCACCCGCCTAGGGGTGCGAGGTTACAAAGGGAAGCGCAAGATTTTTCAACAAGGAAAACATTTATGCCTAGATATGTGCCAGCAAGTATGCACATACTTACATAATATAAACAATTCTTTAATTCCATAGAGATGTTAAAAGTTGACATCTAGGGTTTCATCATCATCATCATCATCAACAACCTTTAACAGTCCATTGCTGGACATAAGCCTCTCCTTAGAAAGGAGGTTTTGGCCTACTATACCACACATCTAGGATTTATATTACGTAATTGCCACTACTTCTTTGCTTTCCTTCTCTAATACCTACGGAAACTGAGGCTGACCGCCCAGAATAATGCGCGCCTCTAGCGCCCTCAGAGAGAAGTAGCAGTACTCTCCCATGGGACTTAGAGGCGGAAATAAGACTCGTCGGTCGTCTCGGATAGAAGCTCACCGTACTGGCTATGGCACTGTGGAGGCGCTCCAGCTGGACATCGTCGGTGGCAGCATAGGATTATTTCTTCCCGACTGGTCAACGTAGCGTCAGGCGCTCATTGCTGTTATCGGAGAGTGATACTCGCTACCAGCCGTTATACGCGCCATGGCTGAAGCAACAGTTTTGCTGCGGTCGTATCCTGTTGATAGGGCGTTGCGTCTAGTGGAAGGCACGCATTTCCGTGGAGGGGAGCATTTAATTGAATGGCTTCTATATTTTAGGTACTCTGCTTTCTAATAAGCATAGAATTCTAATAATAATTTATGATGTCAATTGAAGGTCATATTTAAGTGATATATTCTACATCAGGAGAACGAAACATGAAATACTGTTATGTGAAATACACTCATATGTGACTTACTTTGACGTAAAATTTACTTCAGGATGACACAATATGATGTCATCCTGACATAAATTTTACATAAATGTATTTACTGGGGACTCAGATAACGATACGCCGTTATAGAGGATTGGCTCGAGAGGAAACACAGGACCCTCTCATGCCGGCTGACGGAGGAGATGTCCTATGTCTGATCCGCAAGGAAACAACGCCTAGGTGGCACAATTGCGGTGACACGGCGCTCCATACGGTGCTAGAACGTCCGGCGTGGGTAGAACAGAGGCTTGGCCTCGTGACGGCCATCGGAATGACGACCATAGTACCAAGCGAGAGCGCTTGAATCGGCGCCACTTCCGCCTTCCGCAAGTTTTGCTTGAGAAGGGGAGGGCGGAGCGGGATCTGAAAAGGCTTAGAACTCTCACAGTCCGCCAAGCCAAGGGGACAGGCCAGGTACTGCAGGTACTCCAGGGACCCAATCTGCAATAAAATAAGAAAGTCTCCTCAAAATCTGTTCTCGGTTCCCTCCTATTTCAGGCGCAGTTTATAGACCGTGTTGTTTTAGTCGGTTGGATTTCGATACACCGCCCACCGCAAACCCCGGTGGGGTGATATCCCACGTCAAGAAATAAAATAAAAAAGTTTTATCAACTAGTAGCTATTATTAACATAGTGTGGGCGATAAAGAGAATGGCGATGAACCGATGAAATGCTTGCCTAGGGCGCTTAATAATCCTAACATACCACTTTTTAGGAGATTATTTTTAGATATGGTAACTTAGTATCAGTGCTGTCAAATATGTTCAAGTTTTGCTTTGAATAGTGATGTGTGATGTAAATACATTGTATGATATCTATCGATTGATGGAGTAAATTCCATTTCATAATTATGAAGTACAATAATCTTTAGGACAAATGTGTGTATAAGTTTACCAATAATATTAGTAATATTTGACGTCCTAGACGTACATACTTCAAAAGTACTTAAGAAATTGATCTTTTTCATTGGATGACTTGTAATACCATTTTTTACATTTATAATATTTTTGCGTCACTTTACACAATCACGTCACTTGTAACAATATTAAATCAAAAACATAAACGATTGAAAAACCTGCCTAGTTTTGAAATTTTCAATCAGATGTATTATATTATTGTGTATTATTTTTTAAATTGACTATTTAAGTATTTCATTCCACTGAAACAAATTATGAACTTCATTGTTATTATATATTTCGATATCACTGAAATTCTAAAATCGATTACATTTAATCGACTGCAGAGTACAATCAATTAAAAAACACATCTCTACGAAGTACTTACTTTTGAATGTTTAGATACTTTATATTTATCAATATGTCAGTCAATTCTGTCTAATTGTAGTAATCCAGATTTACTGTACAATTTATAGAAAACCTATGTTGAAAAGTAAAGATGAAATAACTAAATCAAAATCTATATCCTCTGCTTCCATTTTAACGAAATAAACACAACATTTTATGTTAATATTTATAAGAAAAGTGTATCAACATGTTGGCACTACTATTACTAAATAGAATGAATGCTAGGCGCCGAGTTCGGCATCAAAGGCCTGTGAAACTGACTAAAACTGAGGGAAAGAGTCCAGAGAGGATTTATTGCCGAACTTGTCTCAATACTGAAGACTTAGTATCGATTTTTTATAATAAAGAGACTGAACGTAAACGGTCCCACGATTTAAAACTGGTAACGGGTTTAGAGGTAAGTTTATACGGTTCTGATGAGTTCAGTACAATGTAGTGCCAAATAAATTTTTGAAGATTGTATTTAAAACAATTGCAGGTATTTTTGAATTGTCATGAGTAGGAGTTATCTAATACATACAAATAAATAAAATTGAAGTGTCTGTAATGTCAAAATTATAGTTTTTTTTCATGCTTACACGGTTATTTGCACGATATCAATACCTACATAGTTTAAATATTTCTTTTCTGTCTGTCTGTTTGTTCCGGGTAATCTTCAAAACGGCTGAACCGATTTTGATAATATTTTACTACAAAGTAGCTGTCTATATAAGGAGTAACTTAGACTATTTTTTCTCTCAGAAAAACTGTATAAAATTTTGTCTGGTCCGGGTATCACACTGAGTCACATTCAAAGTCGCTGGCACCAGCTAGTTTAAAATAAGACAAGTCATGTAGTTGCCTGTACTAATATATACATATAAATTAATTGCCTTGACTGACTGATATATTAACAGAAATCTTAAACTGCTCTGGGGCCAAAAAACTCGAAATTTTGGCATCTGAAGCTTTTTATGTTGCAAGTACAGTTGTTATGTTTATTCGGTCAAAGACTTTTTGAATGGTGGAGAGTAGTAGGTATAATTAATAAAAGTGAAATTATAATCAATACACAAACACTGATGAATAATGATGATAATAATAATAATAATATATAAATGTTAAATTAATAATAATAATGTTAAATTTGCATGCTATCTTCATGGCTAAATGGGCCTGTTCGCACTATATTGAACCTTTAATACCACAACATGTACCACCCCATTTATAGCAAATATATAATTTGAATTTGAATTTGAATTTTGAATATGTTGTAATTCTAAGCAGGGATTTTCGGGAATTTCATCCCTAAAGCTAGCCACACTCACTACTGGAGAGGTTTTCCTGTCCAGGACTGCCTGTACAGGCAGACCATATGTCATAATGTGTGTGGAACAATCCACTTTACCAGAAAAATCTTTAGGTGTACCGTATGGTGTCGAATTTGCTGTGGTCCATGTTACAAAATTTACACACCTGGACAGGTAGACCTCTCTGGTTTGAAGTCGGCTTCGGTCAACGTTAGAAACACACATCTGTGTACATGTAATATAAGGAAGAATTGGCAAGGAATTCTAAAGACACATATTGGTTTAAAATTGAGTTTCATATTTGTTTTGTCACCTCAGAACTCAGGGAAAATATATTATAACTAATATAAAAGGAAAATAGGAAGAAAACTGTCTGTCAATATCTAGTCAGGGGCAACAGGGGCGGCTTTTAGGGGTGTTGTGGGTTGGGTTGTCGTGTAGAACAATGCTTATTAGAATTTTGCGTGTTACGCCACTCGCTGAGTTCAATTTAGGTTCAGGACAGGGATTCTCCATGTTTCATTCCACCTGTCATTTTGACTGGCTTCCAGTATTAACTGTTGTCAGTTTATAATATGCTTTTATGTTCAAGCAGCAGTATGTTGTGTTGTATTTTTTACATTTGTGTCACCATTCCATTCTACTCTGTCATGCGTCATCTCACTGTTTACTCCCTTCCTAGCCATATCCTCCCTGACGCAGTCCATCCACCTCTTCTTCGGTCTGCCTCTTCTCTTGTACCCTTCAACTCTCATACCTAAAACTTTCTTCGCCACATTTTCCTCATCCCTCCGCATGACATGTCCATACCAAGATAACCTATTACTTCTTAACTTTTCATCCAGTGGCGCTACTTTCAGACTCCCTCGTATATACTCATTCCTAACCTTGTCCATCTGAGTCACACCACACATCCATCTCAGCATTCGCATTTCGGCTACGTTCACATTTTTCCAAGTATCATCATTAAAACTAATTCGCAATAATATACAGGCAGGGGCCTTGATATGATGTACATGCCAGTGGGTTGGCAATGATCAACCTGCCCAGGGCCTCGCAATGGATGAGGCCTCTACCGAGTATCAATAGTTACATCATCAGCTTATAAGAGGCTATGCATAAATTACGTCACTCAATTTTTAGAACTTTTTAACCTCTCCCCTGTCCTTCTCACTGGTTGTCACATTTTTAGAACCCTCTGATGTGACATCACAATTTTATGCATGTATTTAATAAAAAACAATTAATAAATATAGATTGACTTCGTAAATTTATAAAGTTTTGCGTTTTAATATTTAAAATTTTAACATGTGGCGTCACAAAGCTTGCACACTAATGCCCTAAAAAAAAAAATGGCATTAGTGGGCAAACGGGCAGATGGGTCACCTGATGGTAAGGAACTACCGCCGCCCATGGACATCTGCAACTCAAAAGTCACAAGTGCGTTGCTGCCCTTGGAGTCCCTCCCGCTCGAGTCGGGAGAGGGGGATTTGGGCTACGGTAACCTCACTCACTCAGTGAAAGGCAACGAAAGAATTGCTTAACACCGGTTTTTTGTGAGGCCGTGGTATCACTCCGGTCGAGCCGGCCCATTCGTGCCGAAGCATAGCCCTCCTGTGGTAATTGTGTAATAGTGACAGTTTAAGAAGAACTAACTATTCTTCACATGATCTTCAGATCAAAATGGACGATGGACTGTCACAGAAGATTTGCACACGTTGCTTGGAAACCATGAACATGGCGTTACAATTCAGACGGACCAGTAAGAAGTCTGAGAAGGCGCTTCTTAACATGATATCAGGTATGTTACAAAAGTCCCACCCCATTCTTCTTTAAATACCCCATTCTTGTAATGAACTGCTTGAGTTAGTGCATACACTCCACACAATCCATCTTCTTCCTCTGAGCCTTTTACCAAACCAGGTGGGGTCGGCTTTAAGTCTATGATACGTCTGAACTTTTTAAGTGGAGTGACTGCTATCAGAGCTCCATAACCCAAGTACTAGGCGATATCGAAGTTCTATAGAAGGACTGTTATCGGAATTTTTAAGGATCCAACTATCCGTGTGGTGACGGATTAAGAATACAAATTGTCACCACCCCAATTCATCCCGTGGGTGTCGTAAGAGCCGACTAAGGGAGCAAACTAAGCAGGACAACAGCACTGCAAAGAGAAGGAAAACTTGAAACAAACCCTATACCAACCCGTCTGGCCAGCGTGGTATAGTAGGCCAAAACCTCCTTTCTAAGGAGAGGCCTATGTCCAGCAGTGGACTAGTATAGGCTGTTGATGATTGATGAACTATCCGTAGCGATTGCTACAGGTTCGTATAGCAAACGGGACCCGAAAGCTCTGGCACGGAGCGGTCTGTATGTGTTTAAAATGGTCACTCCTCGATACACTACCCTGGCAAGGATTGTTTAACTTTACAATGTGCTAACCTACTTGGTCACGATTTAGTAACGAGGGATTCTTTACGGTTCTTACCATAATGGCCTAATTAATAATATATATTCTACCACATTCACACAACGCCATCTAGTCCCAAACTAAGCAGAGCTTGTACTATGGGTACTAGACAACTGATATAAATACATATATACTTTTTTTTGTAAATACATAGAAACATCCAGACCAAATCAAACATTAAATGTTCATGCACACAAATGTTTGATTTGAGCGTGAAACGCACCCGCGACCTTTGGAATAGCAGTCCGTTACACAAACCACTACGCCATCAAATGTCAATTATGATTCTTAATAATTTCTAAATACCATCTTGAAAATAAACATTTTAGGAAAACCGAAGAAGAAGTACTCTTCTCGTCTGCAAAAAGCTCTTAAGCCACCAGTGGAGAGTACAATGGTGGAGAAAGTTGAAATGGCGGACTACAGCTATGAGATATTTGGAGAACAATTCCAGGATCATGATGATGGTTATGATGTGCATGTTAAAAGCAAACAGAAGATGATGCAGGTATGTACAATATTTTTTTTTATTATTTTATTTCGTCGACTGGAAAAAAATGCCTACGGCATTAAGTCCGCTGATGTATTATCGACCAAGAAATTGGTTTACCACTCTAAGGCTGAATATCATTTGCACGTACAAAACATCAAGGGCTATTTTCGCTTGACAGATTAATAACTGCCATGTCATTCCTGTTTATTTAAACTCAGAACTGATGGCTTGCAATTTAACCTCCTGCTACTTTATGTGCAATAAAACGTTTTGTTTAGTTTCGACGTAAAATAATTGAATTTTGAATCCAGTGAATTAAACTTTATTATATATGTTTTTAATAGATTTAAAAACGTCCCATTTCCTGCTAGTAGCGTAAAGGGTTTTAGGATTAATAATAAACAATGATTTATCATTTAAAAATAACATAAATTTATTGTCCTTCATAAAACGGAACAGTATCATTTAATTGTGAATTTTTTTTATAAAATAATACAAATATGCATAAAGTTATAAATAAACTAGCTGACCCGGCAAACGTTGCTTTGCCTAAAAAAAAATGTAGGAATGGGTCACCCTTAACATTTAGGGGTATAAAAAATAGATGTTGGCCGATTCTCAGACCTACCCGATGTGCACATAAAATTTCATGAGAATCGGTCAAGCCGTTTCGGAGGAGTACGGGAACGAACATTGTGACACGAGAATTTTATATCATCATCTGCCTACCCTTTTCCCAATTTTATTTGGGGTCGGCGCAGTATGTATGATTGTTCCATTCTACTCTGTCATGCGTCATCTCACTGTTTACTCCCTTCCTAGCCATATCCTCCCTGACGCAGTCCATCCACCTCTTCTTCGGTCTGCCTCTTCTCTTGTACCCTTCAACTCTCACACCTAAAACTTTCTTCGCCACATTTTCCTCATCCCTCCGCATGACATGTCCATACCAAGATAACCTATTACTTCTTAACTTTTCATCCAGTGGCGCTACTTTCAGACTCCCTCGTATATACTCGTTCCTAACCTTGTCCATCTGAGTCACACCACACATCCATCTCAGCATTCGCATTTCGGCTACGTTCAGGCGTCTCTCATCCGTTCTCTTAATGGGCCAGCTTTCAGAGCCATACAGGACGGCAGGTCTATTCATTAAAAAACTAAAAGCATTCTTAATTACAAAATGTTTCTATTCTGTTAAAGAATACATTGAGGAAAAAAACACTTAACAAACTACATTTCTTATTACACGGAAAACAGAAAGCATATACCTAAGTACAAATCATAAAAAGAAAAATCGGTCGTGATGCTCGGAAATGCTAGGGACAGTAGGAAAATGTGTATATGTATTAGTGATGTAGAATGTCGGGTGCCTTCGTATTTTTGCATGCTTTATTCGATTGTTATACTGTACTATTGAGTCACTTAATTTGTATTGTTTTATTCTTCTGCGTTCTCTCTCAAATTTTTGCAATGCCTGGAAAAGGCTTCTGAGTTGGGACTACTACATATAATATTATAAGATCATTGATGTACACTTGGTTGGCAAATAAAGATTTGATTTGATTTGATTTGATTTGGTCTGATAAGAATTATAAAAAGATAAAAAAGATATAAAAGAAGATAAATATTGTTTATTCCTAATTGTATTGTATGTCCTATGTTTAATTCCCAAAAGTATCTGGTTATCTGCAACATACTTGATTATTAAATGAGTTATTTAATATACGAGGGGTGATCAATAAGTAATGATAATCGAGTATTTCTAGAACGCACAAAAACCCAAATTATTATTTTTCTGCTTGCTTATATATCCACTACTTCAGCTTCAAAAAAATGTATAAATAGGACACCATTACCGGGAGATACATTCATTTGAATACGAACTGTCGAAGAGAAAACATCAAAATGGAGAAAAATGAAATAAGAGCTGTCATCAAGTACCTCTGCCTGAAAAAAATGTCTACCAAAGACATACACAGCGACTTAGAGGAAACATTGGGGGAGTCTGCTCCTCCATATTCCACAGTCGCACGCTGGGCAAAGGAATTTAAGCTGGGCAGAACCTCTACTGAAGATGAACATCGCGAGGGACGCCCTTCCACGTCCCTTACTGGAGAAAACGTCAAAAAAGTGGAAGATATCGTGTTGGCCGATCGAAGGGTGACCGTAAGGCATGTAGCTGAGGTCACAGGGATCTCCTATGGCAGCGTTCAAAAAATCATTGTCAACAAAATGCATATGAAAAAGGTCTCTGCGCGTTGGGTACCGAGAATGTTAACCGACGAGCAAAAAAAGAAACGAGTCGACATTTCGAGGGTGAATCTTCAAAAGTTCCAGGCCGATAAAGAATTTTTTTTGTCGCGTTTTGTGACCATGGACGAGACCTGGATCCACCACTTTGATCCCGAAACCAAACAACAATCAATGACTTGGAAACGAGCTTCCTCACCAACGCCGAAGAAATTCAAAGTGTCAAGTTCAGCGGGAAAGGTTATGGCGTCTGTTTTCTGGGATGCAGAAGGAATTATTATGGTGGAATATTTGGAAAAGGGGGCCACTATAACAGGCTCTTACTACGCAGGCCAAATAAGAAGATTGCGAGAAGCTATTAAGTCAAAAAGACGCGGTAAACTGCGCGCTGGAGTGCTGTTTCACCAAGACAACGCCCCGGCTAACAAAGCCGCAGTTGCGATGGCTGCCATTGAAGAAACGGGGTTCGAACTGCTCGAACACCCTCCCTATTCGCCAGATCTAGCTCCCAGTGACTTCTACCTCTTTCCTCGGCTCAAAGAACACCTCCGGGGCAACAAATTTGAGGACAATAGTGAAGTGATGGCCGCAGTAGAGGCATTTTGGGAGGGTCAAGACAAAGAATTTTTTTCTAAGGGAATCATGGGCTTAGAAAAAAGATACACTAAATGTATTAACTTGCAAGGAGACTATGTTGAAAAATAAAATACTTTTTTTAATCTAATAGTTCTGTTTCATATTGATTATCATTACTTATTGATCACCCCTCGTACTACAAGAATATATAGACAAGAATGCTGGGGATTAATTAGCGCAGGCTATTTCTTTCTTAAGTAAAAATGTGGTGTGGCTAGTATGTTTGTTATTATTAATTTTTTTTTTCTATTTTTTATGTTTCACTTCATTTTCTCTTGTATTCGTTTTTGTCTTCTTAATCTTGTTTTCTCTTCATTGTCCTTTCACCTTTTAGTCCTTAATAATGGACATACTAGCACACATCAAAACAATGTTGTGGTATATTTAATAGTACCATTGTATCTACCTGTGAATTGCAAAAGAGTGGCCATGAGTTTGTTTGCCCTTTCTTCTCATAAGGCTCAACCCCTTGGAAACGGGCGGTTGTAGATAGGCACAGGCATATCATAGATTTTGTATGGGTTTGATTTTTGTTAAATTTATTTGCTTACTATTTGACAAAACAGAGATTGCTGCTTTTGTGTGTGTTGATCTATGACTTTAGAGTCTACATGGAAGACGATTTCAAACAATTTTGGAAATTTTATGAAATAAAGAAAGTTTGAGTTTGAGTACTACCATTTGCCCGCGGCTCCGCCCGCGTGTATGTCGCTTATCGTGGTAAAAATAAGCCCATGTTCATCATCATCATTAACAGCCTTTAATAGTCCACTGCTGGACATATGTAAGAGATCGCCGTGAGCGATAGGACTGCCTATTGTAATACCAAAATGTAAATGTCCATCCATGTCTGTACAATATATACTGCAGCGAAGTACAATTATTATCATCACCAGTCTGTTATAGTCCACTGCTGGACATAGGCCTCTCCTTAAAAAGAAGGTTTTGACCTACTATACCACGCTGGCCAAACGGGTTTGTGTCAAGTTTTCCTTCTCTTTGCAGTGCTGTTGTCCTGCTCAGTTTGCTCCCTTAGTCATACTAACTTTTAAACTTTCGCGTTCCATGATAATTAATATTATTTAACGGGAATTAACGCGATCTCTTATTTAGGGTATTACATACCTCTGGTTTGCTTGACGTTTCGACCAGGTTGCACCGGCCGTGGTCATAGGCTGACTGGCTCATGGCGCACGCCCTCCGTCATCGAATCCGTGAAGTAGAAGGCTCTAATAAGAGATCGCGTTAATTCCCGTTAAATAATATTAATGCTCCCTTAGTCGTCTCCTACGACACCCACGGGATGAATAGAGGGGGCGACACTCTGTATTCTTAATCCGTCACCACACGGAGAGCCTATGCCACTCGCTGATAATTCAGCTTTCCATTGGTGAAAGAATTTTTACTATCGGTTTGGTGTTTTAGGCGTGGAAGCGTAACAAAGGAACAAATCACTTTCACATATACGATCTTTTGCCCGCGACTTCGCTCGCGTTAATGTCGTTTATCGCGGTAAAGAGTACCCTATGTCTTTCCTCAAGAATCAAAGTATTTTAATACCAAGTTTCATCTGAATCGATTCTCCATGCAAACTTCCTACCCCCTTTTCACCCATTAAAAAGATGATTTTTGGGATAAAAATTACTCTATGTCTTTTCCCGGGATTCGGACTATCTCTGTACCAAGTTTCATGTAAATCGGTGCAGCGGTTTCAACGTGAAGAGGTAGCAGACAGATAGGACTGTCTCTCTCTTACTTTTATGTTTATAACATTAGTATGGATATAATCCTTAGAAAAGTTAATTATTATTAAATAGACAATTTTCTAAAAGCAACCGTTGGGTCTCGGCCCGCCAGCCACGAACACCTCGCCTGATTCGAGGATCCTTCCTTTGTGTTGCAGACACATGACATAAAAACATTTTTTTTTTAATTATTCCAGAAGCAAACCAAGAAGAAACGCTCTCAGTTGCCGAACTGCACGTCGTACAAATGCGCCACTTGTAACAAAGTGTTCCATATGAAAGCGACTTACAAGGCGCATATACGCTTACATACCAATTATTGCGTGTGTGAGGTGAGTGTTAACGGGCCTGTTGGTCTAGTGGTTAGTGACCCTGACTGCTAAAACGGAGGTGGTGGGTTCGATCCCCACCCAGAACAAATATTGTGTGATGAGTACGGTCATTTGTTCTGTGTCTGGGTGTAATTTATCTATACTCTATACAAATAAATAAAATTGGAGTGTCTGTTTGTAATATTAAAATAACCGCTTTTTAATAAATGCATATGAATGTTTACACGGTACATATGCCAAAATAACATTTTTTACCTGTCTGTATGTCTGTCTGTTTGTTCCGGGTAATCTCTGAAACGGCTGGACGGATTTCGACGGGACTTTCACTGACAGATAGCTGATGACATAAGGAGTAACTTAGGCTACTTTTTTAGACTATCTTCGCCCCGCGGCGCTGCCCGCGGTTATAACAACAAACGCAGGTAACACCGCGGGTCTCAGCTAGTCTATAATATGTATGAACTTAGTAATATGTATATAAGTATGTTTGTCAGCAGTCTGGTTACCATAGTACAGACTCTGCCTAGTTTGGGATCAGACAGCCGTGTGTGAGATATATTATTGTTATTACATCATCATCAGCCTATCGCAGTCCACTGCTGGACATAATCCTCTCCTTAGAATGAACGTTTTGGCCCGCTATACCACGCTAGCTAAACGGATTGGTATAGGGTTTGTTTCAAGTTTCCAGTCTCTTAGTAGTGCTGAACTAATAGTTCCTGAGATAACGGCGTTCAACCAAATAAACTAACTCTTCATAATGTTAGTATAGATAAAAAAAATTGCATACAGTATGACACTTTCACTGTTCCTCAGAACTAGAATGTGTCCGCATCGGATTGCGGCTTATTTTTAAAGTTAATAATAATATTCTACCACATTCACACAACGCCATCTAGTCCCAAACTAAGCAGAGCTTGTACTATGGGTACTAGACAACTGATATAAATACATATATACTTTTTTCTGTAAATACATACATATTATACATAGAAACCACCCAGACCAAATTAAACATCATTGAAATTTGATACACTATATCAGTATTCGTTACGAAGTCCCTTACACCCTGTATATAGCTTTTAAAGTATTTCAGGCGAGGTCCGGGTCCTCGCCTGAAATGAGCAGGTCGCTATGTACTTGCTGTCGTGTGATATGTCGGCGCTCATCACCTGGGAAAATATTACGAAATTATTGTCGAATTTAAATATTTTATCTTGATAATACTAAATACCGATATATTACCACAGACTAATTTCAAAAGCCTCTAATCTGGGTTGCTATAAATAATAATAATAATATTGTACCACATTCACACAACGCTATCTAGTCCCAAACTAAGCAGAGCTTGTACTATTGGTACTAGACAACTGATATAAATACATTTTTGTGTTAATACATACATATTATACATAGAAACACCCAGACCAAATTTCATGCAACATTAAAAGTTCATGCACACAAATGTTTGACTTGATCGAACCCGCGACCTTTGAAATAGCAGTCCGTTACACAAACCACTACGCCATCCGGTCGTCCAAAGTTGGTCTCATAGAAGGTTCTAGAAGGTTACAAAATTTCCCCTAAATCTTATAATAACCCGACTGATATGGACATTCTTCTCGAAACACTGTGGAACGTCGAGGGTCTCAATTCTGTTATTATAATATTGTATCAATAGACTGTCGATGGAATAGTTTTGCACTTTTCGTATTCCACTAACTATGTAAGACCAATGACCTGTAGATGACTTGTCACTGACACAAATGTCGTCGATGTCTTTCTAACAGTTTGGTAAACGGTACATTTTTAATTTGTAAGAATATGATATATTTAATTTTCCAGGTATTACAATGTTGTTGATGTAACCATTGATGACCTATATTACTAAATCCACAGTCTATTGACACTGTGAATTTATGTTAGTAGAATACCGATATTTTGACCGATGTCAATGGCGTGTCAATGGAATGACAGTTGCTTGACGTTAACATAAAATAGTAGAATTGAGGCCCTGAAACGTTCGAATTTTCTAGAACATTCAATCAGTTTCGCTACTCGACGACAGATGGGGCTACGTGTTTCGAGCGAAGCCGCATTATATAATTATTTTCATGATATTCTGTTCCTCAGACGTGCGGCAAGAGATGCAGGAACAACAACCAGCTCCAGGAACACAAAAGAGCTCGTCACGGCCTCTACAAAATACACAAATGCGCTTACTGCGAATACAGCTCCGCTACTAAGGAAGCCCTCACTGTGAGTACCTCTCTACTTTAAAAGCATTTTATTCTGTGTCACATGTCCAAAATATTATTATTCTCTTTATTACATTAAATATACATATAAATTACATCTATACAAATAAATAAAATTGGAGTGTCTGTTTGTAATATTAAAATAACCGCTTTTTACTAAATGCATATGTATGTTTACACGGTACATATGCCAAAATAACATTTTTTACAATTTTTGTCTGTCTGTCTGTCTGTCTGCCTATCTGTCTGTTTGTTCCGGGTAATCTCTGGAACTGCTGGACCGATTTCGACGGGACTTTCACTGGCAGATAGCTGATGACATAAGGAGTAACTTAGGCTCCTTTTTTTAGACCATCTTCGCCCCGCGGCGTTGCCCGCGGTTATAACAACAAACGCGGGTAACACCGCGGGTCTCAGCTAGTTTTTAAATATATTTATGTACAAGATAGTGTCCCATCGGTATCGGGTACAGGGACCAAGGTATCGGTGGTTAGGGCTCCAAAGATAGATACCTCCGCACAATACGTGCCGTATCGAGAAGAACTGCTTTCTGCATCAGGCCCTTAATCCAACTGCCTAACGCGAGCATCTGAAGATGTTGGTCGAGGCTTTTGGCAATTTATCCATGGATTTAATTATTTATATTATTATTATCTATGGCAGAAAACAGAAATGTTGTATCAGAAAAGTCGTTGTAAATATTTATTTTATTTATTTATTGTCTATTTCAGGCATAATTGCCTTATGTAATAAAAGTTCAATTAAATTACATTACGGTCGCCACGTCGCTTACTACTACACCATGTGTTGTGGGTTCAAACCCCACATGGGACGACACTTTGTGTGATCCACAAATTGTTGTTCTGAGTCTGGGTGTTCTTTGTGTCCGTTTCATGTATGTTTGTAAAGTCCCCCGCGACACAGGATTTATTCCTAATGCGGGAGTTGTCTTTTTTTAAAGAGCAAGGGAATTACAAAAATATATAGTAGTTATATATTTAAATTAAATAAGGAATAAGAAAATCGCTTTAAAAAGTTTTTTATAGCGTAAATATGAGTCATGTTTGTGTCAGACCTCGTGATGTTTTGGTCTTTCTAGTGCATTACTCTTAAATTGTCCTTTTGCAGTCGGGTTATTGATTTTTAAATTATAATTTGTTGTGGGCAAAACTTTTTGAAAAGGAATTTTTGAAATAGTCTTGGTCTGTGGTGTAAAATTTCATGAAAAGACATTTCCGCTTCCTGCCGTCGACTGTTTTGAATCCTTAGCCAATTGTCGAACACCTAAATTATATCCGATCTGTGTGAGCAAAGCTAGCTAGATAAGTGTATTTATGTAATAATATTGCAGATCCACGAGCGTCGCCACACCGGCGAGCGGCCTTACGTGTGCGACCACTGCGGCGCCACCTTCCACCGAAGGTCGAACCTGGTCCAGCATATCGCCATACATCTGCCAGAAAAGAATTTCCAGGTATTCACTTGATATGTATATAATATTAATTACTGCCAGAGTTAAGAAAAAATATAAACTTAAGTAAAAAAATATCAACTTGTATAAGTAATGTATTTTAGTGTAAAATCATTCAATATTTTTTTAAAATCATACAATGTAAAATCTAGATATTGACAGCTTCATACGGATTATTGACTGTATTGTACCTAGTATTGACATTTTCAGCCCTGTTATTGTCATATATCTTATAACACTTTTACATTTGATATCGGAATTCTAAAATTCTCATTCAAACTTTGTAACTCGAAAATAATCTAACACAATAAAATTGAACTGTTTGGTTTCAGTTCACATAAACTTTTCAAAAATTCAAAAAAAAAAATGGAAATCAAATTACCTAATGTGTTTTTTTTTGTATGTGATGCATAGACAAAATTTTGACAATTGTCGGTTTTTAGTGCGACATGTGCCCGAAAAGGCTCAAGTCGCGCAAGTTCCTGCAGATACACAAACACAACGCGCACACTGGCAAGCGTTATGGATACCTGTGCAGTATGTGTGGGCATCGCTTCGAGAAGCCGAACAAAGTCCGAGCGCACACGAGAAGAGTGCACGGCGTGCCTGACGAACAGCAGGGACCTATTGCTAGAGTTCAGATATAGATATTAGGTTATATGTATTAGGTATACCTGTTATCGATATTAGGGTGACTAATACGGTATTATTTGGTAGGTTGTGATCCAAGTTTTGTTCTTCCAAGCCTAGTGTGAATGAAAGTATGTTTATTAGTTAGTTGATGTCCATGCCCTAGTGGCTTCTTAGGAAGTCCACACGGCAATGAAATACCTGGTCGTGGTACGAAGTACCTATGATTTTAATAATACTAGAGAAATCTAAACAAATAATACACATTGGTTATGAGTGAAGACACATTACAAATAATTTTTTCACGCCGCTCCACTACTACGCTGAGTGTTGTAGGTTCAAACCCCACGTGGGACGACACTTTATGTCATCCACTAACTGTTGTTCTGAGTCTGGGTGTTCTTTGTGTCCGTTTCATGTATGTTTGTAAAGTCCCCCGCGACACAGGATATATTCCTATTGCGGGAGTTGTCGTTTTATAGTCACCCCCTTAAAGGACGATTTCTGAGATAACAACTACTCTATGTCCTTTCCCGGGACTCAGACTATCTCTATACAAAGTTCATCTAAATCGGTTATGTGGTTTAAGCGTGGAGAGGAAACAGACAGACACACTTTCGCGTTTTAAATATTAGTATGGATTCTTTGGGCAAACAAACATCAAAGTATTTAGAGCGTATAATAAAGTAATAATATGTCTGTCATCTTTAATACTTTGGAAATGGTGGCGGTGGGAGGGTATTCGTTAACAAGCCGTTTTGATTCGAATTGACAAATTCTGGCTAGGTATGGAACTCCTCCACCCTAAGCAGTTTACCAGAATTATAGACTGCAGGTCACTCTTGCATTGCCAATAATGTTGTCAATGTATGACCTTCATGAACTGTTTTTGTCATGTATAAATATAAAAACGCTCTACCAGCATCAATTCCTCTCAAATATTGAGTTGACTTTAGAGCAAACTTATAGCAAAGTAATAAGTAAATAAAAAAAAACACAAACATGTAAACGTATAACAATATACTTACTCAAATAACACACAGTTAAACCTGACCAAATTTCGATCTCACAAATATCATAAAAGGTATTCTCGTAGTAAAGTATAACTAAGACTAGCAGAATACCGATTCAATGTTGGGTTACAATACGATATAATCACATTACAGTCAACGTTTGATGTTTAAAATTTTACTACGAAAATACCTTTCATGACAGTTGTGAGATCAAAAGCAGAAGTAGAGGTCCTTCGAGCCGGAGCAATATTTGATATTCGATTATTGCAGCGAAGTTGTAAATTAAAGTGAACTGTATTTTAAACTAATTTATTATTACACTTTTAATGTAGTATTAAAAAGATTAGAATATAATAATCTTTATTGTACACCAATTCAAGATATTATAAATACAATAGTATTCCAAGTTAATGACCATGTAGAAATGGCGGCCTTATCGCTAAAAAGCAATCTCTTACAGGCAACCTTTGGATGGACAAATAGACTGTAAATAAGTAATTTCATGGGCAGATTTAGTGAGAAAAATGTGTAAGGGAAATAAAAAAAAAATAAGCTAAGATTATCGCTTCGTTTGTGCGCCCTCGGTCGTCAAGTGGCGGGGCTCGTGACACCCTTAATTGCCGCCATCGTCGCTCCCGCGCTGGTTGCCCACGCGCCTCACGCGTGAACAGATCGAAACTTAATTGTGACCGAACTTTTATTGAGAATTGGCTTACAGGTATTTCGTTGACCTAAGCCCATTTGAGCTACTGCAGTACCATCCGTGCGATCCAGTCACTTCCATTTCCTCATCATCATCCAAAACTGGCAGTATTCCTTAGTTACTCCTCGTCTTATCTGTTTTCCCCTTTTTGGGCCCGACTGAAAATGACTGACATTCCGATGGAGGATTGGCGTCAGATAAAAGAAACTAGCCAAATTTTCTTGCAATATTATATATTGTGCCGACCTCGACCGGAGTAACACTACGACTTCACAGAACACCGGTGTTAAGATATTCTTTCACTGATTTGACACCGAGTGAACGAAGGTACCAGAATCCAAAACTACCCTCCCCCTTTTTTTCCGGAGGGGAGGGTGTTAACGGCGACCCGTCTGTCTGTCCGTCTGAATATAATTTGGAAAAAGTCAACAATGTGACTATATATGTGTGTGAGTGATGTATTTATATGTAACTGTAGGTAATATTCTTAAATAATAATATTTAATGGTTTTCCAGTAAATAAGTAACTTGTAGACTATTTTATTATTATTCTGCCGTAGATTTTAAACGTCAAAATGTACTGAATCGATTTAATACTAAACAATAAGTAAACACTAATTTAGTAAGTTACAAGTAAAATTTTAACAAAAAAAACCGACTTCAATGGTTTTCTCATGGATTCCATGGTCAGAACTAGACCAAATCCCCACATGGGACGACACGTTGTTCTGAGTCTGGGTGTTCTTTGTGTTCGTTTCATGTATGTTTGTAAAGTCCCCCGCGATACAGGATATATTCCTAATGCGGGAGTTGTCTTCTTTAACACGTTAATCGCCATGTCAGTCTATTGTGTTTGATGCTAAGAAGTTCTACATGAGCCATGTCAGACATATATTTCTGACGTACGCGATTTGGTAGAAGGCCACATTAATCACAGATGTCCGACGCAAACGATACATTTGTATTATCTTTCGAAAGCTTGGCCTATCAGAAACAAAACTTGAAAATTTCTTGGCTTACTACAAACAATAAAAAAAGCCGTGTGGTGTCGTGGGACACCCGATAGGAACGAAGTTGTGACGATCGAGTAAAACTGATTCGACACGATTTTAATTACAACGCCATCTATGAAAGCGGCTATTACCTACATATTTTTCAGTTGGTTTCTAATTAAACAATTTATACATTGGTAAAATCTCCTTGAGATATGATTTCCTATCTATTCGATAGATGGCGCTGAATGACTGACAAGTGACAATTCAAAATAAATACTGAGATGAAAAGTAATGATTTCCTATCTATTCGATAGATGGCGCTGAATGACTGACATAAAAAGTGTCGTTACAACTTTTCGTGAGAATTTTTTCCGTCTAGCCCCCTTTCACAACGCGCGATAAGGAACTTCGTTCCAAAAATTTAATATAGGCCCATGTCAGTCATATATGCGTGACATAAAAAATAGTGTTTTGCCGGGAATTTTGTCAATTTTTTTTTTCTGTGAGACATTAAGTTTCCTTGATACATTTTTAACTAAATTATCTAATAAAGTTACCATGGCCCATGTGAATTTTTTTCTGATATTGTCGTGGCGATTAACGTGTTAAAAGTGAAATAAATAAAAAAATAGCAATCGGTCCCTGGCTGTCGAAGGATGGACTCAAGTGAGGTAAGGGCACTAATAGTTTGACTTTAATTATTATTATTTATTAAAGCAATAGTGGTTCAAATAAGGCTTTTAAATACTTATAAAGGGTGGAGACAGTTTGTACTGATATACAGGGTGTAAGGGACGTCGCTTCGTAACGAATACTGAAATAGTGCATTCTGAGTCGAAAATCATTGCAATTTTCTGCTGGAAAATTAAACTTTTTATGCAATCAGCTGTCAAAGGTTAAGGTCGTTCCCTGTAGGTATCGCACAAAAGTAATAACTACATGTATATTCCTAGGGAGAGGCCTACGTCCAGCAGTGGACTGTTATAGGCTGTTGATGATGTATATTCCGTGCAAACAGTCTACGCACATTAACACAAGTTGGCGATCGGAGGGGAGCCCCGCGCGCTTCGATTGTTTGATCAATTAAATTGCAGTTTTTGACCGTTTGCGGTATTTATTAATTTGTTTCCGGTGAACTGTTCTGTTTACTCATTGTGATATCATTTTTAACCAAGAAAATGGAAAATTATGAAAAAAAACATTAATTTTCCGGCAGAAAATTTCAATGATTTTCGACTCAGATTCATGGTCCGAATACACTATTTCAGTATTCGTTACGATGTCCCTTACACCCTGTATTTTTTTCCAAACAAAAAACCTGTGTTCAGCAATAGAGCAGATGGCTGTCTAGTCAAATCAGTAATGTTTTATTAAACGTGAAAACGCTAGACGCGGCACATTGTTGTATGAAATACTATTTCGAGACGCCATACCTAGATATTGTTAAATTATTTATATTTAATTTTGAAATCAAGATATCAAATTAATAAAAAGCTTTAATTGATAATGGAGGACAATTCAGGCTCGTTTTTAAGATGTTATATTTAACTAGCTGACCCGCGCAACTTCGTCTGCGTCTCTCAATAGTAATAAATTTTCTCCGTTTTTGAAACATTCTTCATTGGTGCTCCGCTCCTATTGGTCTTAGCGTAATGATATATAGCCTATAGCCTTCCTCGATAAATGGGCTATCATACACTGAAAGAATTTTTCAAATCGGACCAGTAGTTCCTGAGATTAGCGCGTTCAAACAAACAAACAAACAAACTCTTTAGCTTTATAATATTAGTATAGATTTCTGCATAGGAGGAGCAGTGGCGACTGCTGTGCTGAGGTCTCGGGTCGAACCAATTGTTTGTATGTTCTGTAAATATTTGTTTCGGAGTTTGGGTGTTTACTATGTATAATATAATAATAATAAATCTGTTTATTGTACACCAGGTATAAATATATAAAGATTAACTTAAGATAGGTCAAAGTCAGATTTAAGTCAGGTTAAAGTCAGATTGACTGATTATGACCCTCTCTGATTATGAGGGAGGATTCAAAGAAGGCAGGGTTGTCAGTGTCCATGGGCGCTGGTAGTTACTTACTATCAGATGATCATTCTGCTTGTTTGGCGTCCCATGTCCTATAACTGATGGCTATCACAGTGGCTCTTCTTATCATAGGATGAATATACTGCTACGTGACTCTGGTATCTTCGATCTACTGGAGTTTCAAGTCTAATTCTTCATCCGAGACCTGTGGTATCCTCTACCCTCTCTCCCTCTCTCCTATCCGTTTTCTTTATTACATTTTCCTTT